AGATCTTATTACAGATGGTTGTGAGCCACCATGTGGTTGCTGGGAATTGAATTCAGGACCTCTGGAAGAGCAGCTAGTGTTTTAAGCCACTGAGCCTTCTCTCCAGCCCCCTGGTCTTGAGATATCTTTATTCATTTTCTTAAACATGCCCTTTCATGATCACTAGCTATCATTGCTCTTTACAGCAGTAGTGGTGGGCAAGTGTTAAGCCATGTGTAGGCCCCTGTTATCATCTCTGCCCAACCAAGTCATCCAGGAAACAATTTGCATTCTGTCTTTTGTCATCAACTGTTCACTATGATTAGTCTTGTTAAGTTAAACATTCACAGTTGGTCCAGTTACTCAGACCTGACCACCACAATTAAATGGTGTTGATGGACCAGGGTTCTGTACATTGAACTAATAAATTGCCAACCTGTTTACACTTGTTTAAAGTTGTCTCTGTGAGCAAGGAGGCCCTCCCTTGTCTCCACCAAAACTCTCTGTCCTGGGTCAGGCTGGTCTCCTGACTCTGTGAAGGTGTAGAAGAGAAAAACACAAACACCTAAGAGAATTACAAACACTGCATCAGGCTGGAGAGAGGGATCAGCGATTAAAAGCAAAAATTGCTCTTGCAGAGGACCTGGGATTGATGTCTAGCACCCATGTTAGGCAGTTTATAACTGCCTGTAGTTCCAGCCCTGCAAGATCCACTACCTCTAGCCTTTGTGGGCATTCAAACACACACACCTATACAGTCACAACCATAGATTAAAAGAACAAAATATTTTTAAAGAATTTGTATGACTGAAAACAGCTACACAGTAAAGACTTTCCAACAGATATTACTGTTGTTTATCTCATCTGCAGTGGAAAGAGACCCACAGCACATCAGTGGGAAAGTCCGGCTGTCTGCCTCCACCTCCCTACTTGACATCCTCTGGGTGTTTGTGAACACACAAACATGACCCTTTGTTCTCCCAATTGGGCTGCTCCAGTCATTCTGCCAGGTGTTCGGAACACCCAATTTGATGGTTTTCTCCTTTATTTGCTGCTTCAGTCTGATACTTGCTATTTGTTCTTTTACTTTTGCTTGCTTTATACTTAATAAACATATTCATTCAAACCCAAAGTATGGCTAGCTATTATAGATCATTTTCTGGGCTGTGCAGAACACTCATGACCTTCTGTGGTCTGGCTCTGTAAGTTTTGAGGACACGAATTCAAACGTGGTTACAATGCCGGGAATCGATTTCATTGTAACGGCGGGGGTTGAGGAAAGCACCTTGCACGGCAGTCTTGTGGTCAGACTGTAGTCCGCAGATGTACTTAATTAGTTTATGTTTGTTCTCAGTGAATATCTAACGATCTTTAGCCAAAGGGTTCTTTTTGCTCCTTGCACCTGGGGACCAAACTTTGGTTGTTAGGCTTAGTAGTGAGTACTTTTGCCCTCTGAGCTATTTCTCTGGCCCTTAGTCAAAGGATTCTCCAATTGAGCAGCTCAAGTCTGGCGTGGTGGCATTTTTTTTTTTTTGGTTTTTTTTCGAGACAGGGTTTCTCTGTGGCTTTGGAGACTGTCCTGGAACTCGCTTGGTGGTCCAGGCTGGTCTCGAACTCACAGAGATCCGCCTGCCTCTGCCTCCCCAGTGCTGGGATTAAAGGCGTGCGCCACCAACGCCCGGCTCTGTGTGGTGGCATTTTTAATCCCAGTATTCAGGAGGTAAAGGCAGGGGGTATCTATGAATTCAAGGCCAGCTGGTCTGAGTGACAGACACTCTGGAATCAATGATTCACAGTACAAACACCTTAATTTTCACAACAGCCAGCTGCAGTAGGCCCTATTACAAGTTGTGTGTTTTTCAAAGGTGGAATCAGAGGCAGGGGGTTAATTCTCATTATTCTGTAGCACATGGTAGAGCCAGCAGTGAAGCTCAAGCAGTTTAGCTCAGAAGTCTGTGCTCTGAGCCTCAAGAGTAGGCATGTAACACAGCCTTCCACCCAAGTTCACCGCTCCCTGGGGACTGGGTTGGACACGATGCGGTAAGCACTGAGCAGCCACACTCTGAATCCAGCTAGTGCCTCAGCAGAAGGCTGAGGAGTAAAGGAGGTCGTGCAAGAGGGTGCAGACTTGGCTCACGTTTAAGCAAACCCTGTGCTCTCCTGGGTGCAGTCGCTGACTCTCAACTGCAATGTTCTTGTTGGAGACAAGTGGATGTGTTAGAAGTAAGAAGTCTTTGTGGAGCTGTGCAGTGTCAACAAGAAAGACTGAAGCATATACAACAACATTGAAGGACTTGAGGTCGGTACAGCTTTTTTCTCTTTTTATGTGCGTGCGCTGGGGATCCCACCCACAGCCTTGAGCTTGCAGGCAAGCACTCTCTATCACTGAACAAGTCCCCAGCAAGGAGTGCCATGCTCTGTTTGTCTCTTCCCCCAGATCTCCTCTCAAGGTGATGGTATTAGGGGGAGTCTTGGGGTAGCCAGTAGGCTTTCTGCCGTTTAACAAAATACCTAAGGAAGCTACCCGAAAACAGCACAGGTTTACATGGCTTCATATTTTCCGGGGAGTCAGTCCATGGCTGGCAGGCTCCATGGGCTTCAAGACTGTGGTGAGGCTGACCGACATGGTGGCAGGAACTTGTAGCCAGGGAGGATGTGTGCCTCAAGGTTCGAGGAAGAGCAATATAGAAAGACCGAGAAAAAGTAGGTAGAGAAAGAGGAAGAGGAGGAGAAGAGAGAGCATCCAAAGGAATAGCTCCAGTGACCTACTTCCTCCAAGCAGACTCCATCTTAAAATTTAAAAAAGAATCTTAAAAAAATCTTTGTATTTTATTTACTTTGTGTGGGTAAACATGTGTCTGGAGGTCAGAGAACAATTTGCAGGAATCATTTCTCTCCTTAACGACACAGGTCCTGGGGATGAATCTTAGGTCACCTGGTTTGGTGCAAAGGTCATTATCCGTTGAGCCATTTCTCTGGCCCAAGCCCCAACTCTTAAGACGCTATTCAAGTATTGATCAAGTTGGAGCTGTTATGATCCAATCACTTCTCAATATCACCATCAGCTGGGGACCAGGGTGTTTACCACAGGAACATTTTAGGTGATGGTTCATATTGAAACAATAGTGGGAGATGGCAGGGTGGAGTCCTTATGGTGACTGGTGTTCTTATAAAGTAGTTTTGTCTTTTCTATCACGGGCCTCACTTAGCTGTGAGGAACGCTGGTGAGGGACGTCAGCCCCCTCCAGAGCTTGAGGGGGTCTTGGTCTTGGACTTCATTGCCTCAGAATTGTGAGAAATTTATAAGTTTATAAGTTGCCCAACTGAAGTGTTTCATTACAGCAGTCAGAGTGATCAATTGTTTCATTCTATCAACAAGTATTTACTGAAAGAGTTCTGCAACCAATTATGGCTCAGGTAAGAGCCATAGAGATGTCACTGACTGTAGATGAGGGAGGTCGTCAGAGAATTACAATCCTGGATGCTAATTACCAAAGCTTTGCTTCAAAATATCCAATAATTCAAGGAAGGGAAGGTAACGAAAGGATTGTTGAAACTGGGTGACATATGGAGAGTCAGAGACATTCTTCAATATTTGTATATTACATTTACAGCAGTGGAGATATTATTCAATATTTATATATTACATTTACAGCAGTCTAAAGTAACAAGCATGTGAGGAGAAAGGAAACAGTGACAAATACATAAAGTAGAGTCATTCCCTGGAGGAATAACGATTTATAGGTTCCTTAAAAGTGATAGTTTTGGAGTTGGAGAAACGGCTCAGTGGTTAAGAACATTTACTGCTCTTCCAGAGGACCCAACTTTTGGTTCCCAGCACCCTCAAACCATCTGTAACTTCACCTCCATGGGATCTAATGCCTTTGGGTAGGCAGCTGAACTCTTGTGCACATACACACATGCACACACAATTTTAAATAAATAAATAAATAAATAAATAAGGGCTGGAGAGATGGCTCAGAGGTTAAGAGCACTGGTTGCTCTTCCGAGAACCTGAGTTCAATTCCCAGTAACCACATGGTGGCTCACAACTATCTAAAATGAGATCTGGTGCCTTCTTCTGGCACGTAGACATCATGCTGGTGGAACACTATATATGTATGATATATATATTTGATATATGTGTCAAATAAATCTTAAAAATAAATAAAAATTGTCACGGAAACTATAGTGTCTGAGAAAAAACAGCCAAGTTTAGAAACAAAACACAGCTTTACTTTTGGGCTCAACACTATCGACCTTGCAGGGTGTTTTAAGTAACTGTGTTTTGCTCATAAAAATGGGCCAGTCAGAAAAAAAAAAACATCCAAAATCTATTGTTAATAGCATTTATACAACAAAGTAAAGTCCTGTGTTGTATAAGTCCGCTTTGCCCAGAAAGAAAGGCAGACAAGGGTAAACAAGCCCTCTCAAAGTCAACAGGTATTAGTAAGCGACGGCCCGAAGACAAACGAAGATGAAGCACCCCCCCCCCCCCCGCAGCCGAGATGTACACACCGAGGGATCTCGAGGAGGAGAGTGCCTGCTTCTTCTCCCGAAGGACTTGGGGGTGGTTTCGCAGGACTTTGGAGAAGGCATAACTTAACCTTTCTCTCTTTCCCACATTCCTCTTCTCACAACGTGTTTAGAGGAACGAGGACAGAGAAAGCCTGGAGAGGGCCCTCCCTAGCAGCCAGCCTCTTCGGTAAAGAAGCCGTCCGAGTCCTCAGATCTGCACAACAGCGAGCCCGTTCTGAGAGAGCAACACAACGGAGCGTTCTACAAACGTTACTTAACTGCTGTTGTTACTGCCACATTCTCATCTCAGAGGCTATCAGGTTCATCTTACTCCCTCACCTCACGCTTTCTCGTACAACTTTCCTTTTCCTTTTTTGTTTTTCCGCCCCCACAGACACTGCACGTCTCTCCAGACTGGCGCCGCTTTCCTTCAGCACCTCGACCCTCCGCGAGGCCAAATGAGCGTGCGCTTCCGGCGGCCGGAAGTGCGTCATCGCCGCGCGCCAGTCCCCGCACGCTGCCCCGGTGCGCCTGAGATTCGGATGCCCGAGGTACTGGAGTGGCCCGCGTTCTGTGTGTGTGACTGCTTGCCGGGTCCCGGCTGCTCCGCGCCACGATGCAGGTCTCGAGCCTCAACGAGGTGAAGATTTACAGCCTCAGCTGCGGCAAGTCCCTCCCTGAGGTGAGTCCTCTTCCCCTCGCCGCCGCCGCCGCCACCCCTCTCATTGCCCTCATCATGTATCTTTAATTTACCAATGGCTGACTGCTGGTTGGTTTTATGGCAGCTTGACACAAGCCAGAGTTATCTGAGAGGAGGGAGCCTCAGTTGAGAACGTGCCTCCATAAAATCCAGCTGGAGGGCATTTTCTTAATTAGTGACTGATGGGGGAGGCCCAGCCCACTGTGGGTGGTGTCACCCTTGGGCTGTGGGTCCTGGGTTCGATAAGAAAGCAGGCCGAACAAGCCACGAGGAAGCCAGTAAGCAGCACCCTCCATGGCCTCTGCATCAGCTCCTGTCTCCTGGATCCTGCCCTGTTTGAGTTCCTGTCCCGACTTCCTTTAGTGATGGACCGGGCTATGGAACTGTAGCTGAAATCGGTCATGGTGTGATTTATCACAGCATAGGAACCTTAAGACAGCTTTGTTCTGCTTGTGTTAGGTTCATGTGAGAACATGGTGTCTAGAAACGGGTCTCCATCCTTTAATTAAAACTTCATTGCCCAAAATACGGTCAGAGAGAGTGTCATCCTGATGCACACAATGCCTCAGTGTGTACTTGAGAGGTGAGTCTGCATGACCAGAGACTCCTAAAGATTATTCTGCCGTGTCTACTGAGAATAGTACATAGGCTCTGCCCTTTTAGAAGTGACATATGTATCCGGGAGGCGGTGGTACACGCCTTTAATCCCAGCATTTGGGAGGCAGAGGCAGGGGGATCTTTGAGTTCCAGGACAGCCAGAACTGTTACACAGAGAAACCATGTCTCAGAAAACAACAACAACAACAAAAATAGCGTATATTTATTTTTCATTTCTTTGAGACTCTTTTTTTGTTTGTTTGTTTTTGTTTTAGGAGACAGGGTTTCTCTGTATTGTTTTGGAGGCTGTAGGTCCAGCCCGGCCTCGAACTCACAGAGATCCGCCTGCCTCTGCCTCCCGAGTGCTGGGATTAAAGGTGTGCGCCACCACTGCCCGGCTCTTTGAGACTCTTAACTTTGAATTTATTAACATTTTGAGCTGGACAATTCCCTGTTTCTGGTATTGTCTTATAGACTGTTTGCCAGTATCCCTGGCCTATACCCACTAGATACCAGGGTTACACCTTCAGTTGTGGTGACAAACTAAATCTTTAAGGATTGCCATAAAGCCCTCTGGGGAGCAAAATTACCCCAGTAGAGACCCATTTACTGAATGTCACTGTAATTGACAAGAACTTCATCATTGCTGTTCATCCATCTGCCAGCCATAGAACAAAATCTGCTTTCAATGAATGTGTGAGTAAAAACATCACTTCTTATCCATGGTTGGCTATCAGGCCAGTCATGTAGCTGTTCTTAGTCATTGCAGGAAATAGATTTCAATCGGCAAAGGGATCCATTTATAATCGCAGTGTGTGGGAGGCTGAGACTGGAAGATTGTGAGTTTGTGGGGTTCAGTGTGGGGTACATAGCTACAAAGTATGACTGTCTCAACGCATGGGAACAGGCACACATGTGGGGGTGTTCAAAGTATGACTGTCTCAACGCATGGGAACAGGCACACATGTGGGGGTGTTCAAAGCCTCTCTATATAGAAATAAAACCCATCATTGAGAGTTTAGCTTAGACAGATTAGTTCTGTTCTTTTTTTTTATGCTTTGTAAAACAGCTGTCCAAAATATTTTGTTTAGTGTGTGTAAATGTATCTTTAAAATTTCAGAAAATATGCTAGCATGGAAAGTGGGACTATTGCTGGGCAGTGGTGGCACACGCCTTTAATCCCAGCACTCAGGCGGTAGAGACGGGCGGGTCTCTGTGAGTTCAAGACCAGCCTGGTCTACTGAATGTGTTCCAGGACAGGCTTCAAAGCTACAGAGAAACCCTGTCTCAAAAAGAAAAAAAAAAAAGTGAAGAAAGAAACTATAGTCCCATTTTCCGTTTTATTGATTCCTATAAGCTTGTGTTTCATAAAATGAACTTTATTATTTTGCGAGCAGAGAACAGTTGGGGTGCGTTTTAAAGCGTGGCATCTGTTTTCTCCTAGTGGCTTTCTGACAGGAAGAAGAGAGCACTGCAGAAGAAGGATGTCGGTGAGTATTCACGGTGCTCCTGCTCCAGCTGTCAGTGTGACAGGGTCCTCAGCTGTCTAGCTTCCCAATGTGGGGTGTGGGAATAAGCTTTTTGACCTTCTCTCTTGGATGTTATTTGTGTCTGACACTGTGGAACTTAGTTTCACCTCCCTTCCAAGCTAACGACGAGTTAGCCTCTCCCAGTTTCATGGGTGGCATCAAGGCTCCTAGGTCAGAGACGCAGACTTGGATACTCACGACACTGCACAGATTGGCGCGGCCATCGGCGTGTTTGTCCCAGTTGCCACTTGCGCCCCTTGGGAGGGCTTGAGCTGGGCTTGGAGGAGACATGCGCCCAGTGGGTCTGTGTTTCAGGGAGGAGCCCCGAGGTGGGAAGACCACTGCTTTGCTAGTAGGCAGTAAACAGGCCTGCCTTTCGGTCAGCGTTCTCAGCCTCCAGTAACCCTGAGCCATGGCTGCGGCAAAAGTGGCTAGACTCTTGCTGGACTGCCTGCCACACCAAGCAAGGTGTGCAGGGACACAAGAGGCACAAGGAGGACTGGCTTTCCCGACATTGCATAACTGCTTTGTTCCTAGTGTGTCAGAGTCTTCATCTGTTGAATTTCTCAGTTTTGCAATAGAGATGATAAACTTTATTTTTTTATAAATGAAAGAACTTCACACATTAAATGTCTGAGTAAACAATGAGATTGGTTTGCAACTTAACTGACTTTGGTCACTTTATTTCTATTACATGTTTTCCAGTTCAGGTGCCTTAGAAACTTGCCTTCCTGTAGATTTCACCTAACCGAGTCTCTAAAAATTGAGCATGGGGAGGTTTCTGGCTGTGAGATTGAGATCTTTGGGCAAGCTTCTTGGAAAAATGGGCCTTATGTAAGTTCTAAAGTCAGTAGAAAATGACACTTTTAACTCAGGAGGAAACAAAGGCTGTTCAGAGCTTACAGATTTGGATTTTATCTGACCCCCCTCCTCCAGTGTGCTCTTGTGTAACAAAATGGATTCAGATTATTTGTGGGAAGAACTGTTTTCTGACCTGCTCAGGACTAGTAGGTGTCTAACAAGGCAAGTGCTAAGCATGCTATCTACCACAGAGCCACGCCCCCAGGCCTTCCTCTAATCCCAATATTTAGGTTTCATAAACAGAACATAAGCACGTCATAGATAAGCAGTCTTCACAGTAGTCGTGTTCACATAGCAACCGGTCAGAATTCTTACGCTGGTAGAAAAGATGTGCTTTTTTGTGAGAGTGGGTGTCAGTACTGTGTCCCTTACCCTAGCCTGGGCTCTCTTCACCAAAGGTAAGCATCACCATGAGCTCTATGCTGTTTCTTTTCTTTCTTTCTTTCTTTCTTTCTTTCTTTCTTTCTTTCTTTTTTTTTTTTGGTTTTTTGAGATAGCGTTTCTCTGTATTGCTTTGGAGGCTGTCTTGCAACTCGCTCTGTAGACTAGGCTGCCCTCAAACTCACAGAGATCCACCTGCCTCCCGAGTGCTGTGATTAAAGACCTGTGCCACCACTGCCCGGCTCTTTTCTTTTCTTTTCTTTTCTTTTTTTTTTTTTTTTGAGACAGGGTTTCTCTGTTCTGGACTGTCCTGAACTCACTTTGTAGATCAGCCTGGCCTCGAACTCACAGAAATCCACCTGCCTCTGCCTCCCAAGTGGTGGGACTACAGGCATGCTCTACCATGCCCATCTTTCCATGCTAATTTCTTATATTTTGATATATAAGATTTTGAAGACTTAGGCCTAGGACACACTGATTTTTGTTGCATCTGTGACTAATGGTTTAGTATGTCCTCTGTTCCTCCTTGACCTCATCTTAAAGCTGTGCCTGATATCACTGTGGGCTCTTCCTTCCCAGTTAAAGAAGATTCCCCTTCTTTATAAAAAATGAAAGGAATATATAATTTGCCAACTTTCTGTTACTGTACCTGATGAAGCAAACAACTAAAAACAAGGAAAGGTTTTGGAGTTTTCTGTCCATGTGCCACCGGTTTTGTTGCTTTGGGGCCTGTGGTGGGACAGCACATTGTGGTGGGAGCTCCTGGTGGAAGGGATTGCTCACTAAGCAGGAAACGAGGAGATGAAATAAACAAGTGTCCTATAGTCTTCTTTGAGGGTATGACGCCAGTGGCCTAAGACCTCACTGGGTTCCATGACTCAAAAGTTTTACCACCTCCCAATTAAACCATGAGCCCAGGAATCAGACCCTGGGCTACTTGGGCCTTTGGGGGCGTTTCAGATTCAGATTATTAACAGGGAGGAGCTAAGGAGAAAGCTGGGTGGGTGTGATGGGTTTGTTGTCAGGGCTAGGAGTCTTCGGGTTATAATTGTGCCTCTCCGGCACGCTCTGTCCTCCCTTGATTCCCATGCTGAACTAGTTTTCACCGCTTCTCTCTTTGTAGATGTTCGTAGGAGAATTGAACTTATTCAGGACTTTGAAATGCCTACTGTGTGTACCACTATCAAGGTGTCCAAAGATGGACAATATATCTTAGCGACAGGTAAGCTTCCTTGTGGTTACTGTCTGCTTGTGTGCCATCCATTACAGGATGTGCTCTAGTAGGAAGGCTCACCCTCCTTGTTTAGCCCAGTGTTTCCTTACAAACATTTTCAGACACACACAGATGCTCAGGGGAATTAAATGACCACCTCTTTAACTGAGACCTACATTCTGCTGTGAATAGTTTACCGTGTTTATCTGTCAATACTTATTTTTTTTAATGAGTTTTCAGAATAGGTCACAGATAGCATCTTTGCTCTTTTGTCTGCTTGTTTTTTGAGACAGGATTTCTCTTGTGTAGCTTTGGAACCTGTCCTGGAACTCGCTTCATAAACCATGCTAGTCTTGAACTCACAGAGATCCACCTACCAGTGCCTCTGAGAGGGGGATTTTAGGCGTGCGCCACCATTGCTCGGGTGAAGGTTTGATTTTAATTGCTTTTAATTTGAAGAGCTATATGCACAACTAGTGGCTGTCATGGGACTGTGGTTAGTTGCAGAATCTTTCCTGGTACCTCCCCTCTGGCCCTTTCCTTGGAACTCATATAGGAAGTGGACTTGCTGTCTGCTTACGTTAGCAGAGCTTGTCCTTTCATCTCTGGCTCTGCCACTGTCTCTGTCTTTGTCACTCTTCCAGGACTTGTGGCTAAAATAAGTGGGATAAAATTTGTCCTCGAAGATGCAAAAATAGAAAGGAAAAATGAACACCAGGAGCAAATGCCCTGCATATGTTAATAGCTTTTCCTAATGCCTGCCACACACACACACCATTGTCCGGCGAGGGGTTGCTGCTGCTTTGGGAGCCAGGGTGTCTTCTCTGGCCTAGACCTTGTATCTTCTGCTTCAGCCTCCTATTTGCTGGGACAATGAGCATGCATCACTGTGCTAGGTACATTTTGGAGTTTTCCTTTATAAATGAAATCCTAGGTTTTGATGAATGCTAGAAAACAGGATTTCCTCTTTTTTCCTCATTGCAAGTATGGCATGTTTGTCTGGATTGCTTGTGTGGGGCTGCTGTTACAGCCCTTTCTTTGATTTGATAACAACTATCTTTACCTCAGGACAGAAAGAATATGCACCAGTTCTGTAGGGAGTGACTGTGTAACGTTTATCCTTAGGTTTTGCATGACATTAATTTTTTTTATAGGAACTTATAAACCTCGGGTTCGGTGTTATGACACCTATCAGTTATCCTTGAAATTTGAAAGGTGCTTGGATTCAGAAGGTAAGAGGCTACCTGTGAGCTCAGATAGCTTTTTATATTTGTCTGTCACTCTGCTTTGTAAAATGGGAATAGGTTGTGTGGTGGGTTTTCATTTCTACAGATTAAGTAGTTAAATGTAGTGCTGCACTTACCAGGCTGTAACCCACACTGGTTGGGCCCTCGGCTCTTCTCTGCACAGGGCTGCCCTCAGTGGGTCATAAACAAACTGATACAACCTCCCTGATACTCTCCAATACCTGTAAGGTATGTGATAGAAAACCATTTTGCAACTGTATTTCAACTTCCACAAGCACACCACTGATGGGAAGAATGTCCACTGCTGCTTTTGTCACACATGGCGAGAGATTAAAAGCAAAGAACTCATTGATCCATCCACGCCAAGACACAGGAAGCACACGGAGTTGAGCAGAGCTGCTGCACCAGCAACAGGCCCCCAAAGTGTGCTGTACTGTGGGTGGGTTCTTTCCCTCCTCCGCGTGGGTTCCAGGATGCAGCTCAGGCTGTCACACTTGGCAGCAAGCACCTTTACCTGCTAAGCCGCCTCGGCAGCCCCTAAAACCTGTTACAAAAAGAAGTGAGTTCAGAGACTGGAGGAGGTGACGACTGCAACACCCAGCTTATGATCCCAACTCTGTACAGCTAACGGCTGCAGCATAGCAATGGTGGGGGATAAGTACAGACACAGCAACATGTCAGTCTTCTGTATTTTATCAGTTAGTCTTGTGTTTAGGATCAAGGGAAAAGAAATTAATGGGATACAGTGTTGTGTGGTCCCACCCTTTGCCCCGCTAAAGAAGTGCTAAAGGGCCGGGTGTTGGTGGCGCACACCTTTAATCCCAGCACTCGGGAGGCAGAGGCAGTGGATCTCTGTGAGTTCGAGACCAGCCTGGTCTACAACAGCTAGTTCCAGGACAGCCTCCAAAGCCACAGAGAAATCCTGTCTCAACAACAACAAAAACAAAACAACAAAAACAAAAAAAAAACAAGAAAAAAAGAAGGGCTAGCCGGGCCGTGGTGGCGCACGCCTTTAATCCCAGCACTCGGGAGGCAGAGGCAGGCAGATCTCTGTGAGTTCGAGACTGGGCTGGGCCGACAGCCTCCAAAACAATACAGAGAAATCCTGTCTCGTAAAAACCAAAAAAAAAAGTGCTAAAAGATACTCTTTAGTTTCTATTTGAAAGTTTTAAGAACTGTTTAGGACGTCTCAGCAAAGCAGTGGCAAACATTTTTAGGAATCATAGTTTGTAAATTTTCTTTAGTTCTATAAAAAAAATCTAGTGGGAATTTTCTTCTTGTTTTACATAGAGGTGGGACAAGCACAGCAATTGTGTCAAGTTATTCCCCAGTTAAAACCAACTAGAATCCTCGAAAGAAGCTTGTGTTTTTGTTAGATCTCTGGATGATAATTGTGGTTTCTTTTTTATATTTTCCAGTCGTCACCTTTGAGATTTTATCTGATGACTATTCAAAGGTATTTCCTTTTTATTCTTATTTATATGTGTGTATGAATGAATGCAGTTGCCCTTGAAGGTCAGAAGAAGGCATCAGATTTCCCCCAGGTGGTTGTGAGCTGCTGGGTGGGTGGTGGGAGCTGAACTCAGGACCTCAAGAGCGGCAAGTGCTCTCAACAGCTGAGCTGTCTCTGTAGCCCTGGACTTATTTTTCTGATAAATATTTCTGTTACAGTCTCAGCATTTAAAAATCACTGTGTAGTAATAGATAATTTATCATTTTCCATTTTTTTTTTTTGGGTCAGGTGCATTTGTGATGTATAGTGTGTTTTAAAACAACATTGGGAGAGAGCGCCTTTGATCAGCTAATACCAAGTTGATTCTCAGCATCATGGGGCCTCACCTTTTTTCTAAGGAACCAGTTGCAGTTGCCCTTTGTCAGATGCCTGTGCTTCTGATGCCTGATGTTAGCCTAGGCTGCCTTCATCTATATGAGATAGGAAGCCATCAGTTTGTTCAGTCCTTGTAACCCAGCTAGAGCTTGTAGTGTACGCTAGTACAGCTCTGAGTGCTGCCAAACAGACGTCTTTCCCCTCTCTTCCTAATACCATTGGTCCAGTTTTCAGCTGTATGGTCATTTCGGCACTCACAAGTTGTCAGGGAAGCCCTTACTTAATTTAAAATGGAGATGTAAAGTGTCACAGTGCCCTTTAGTTATTCTCCAGTTAAAACCAATTCAACCAAACAATGTCAAATGCTATGTTGGAAGAAACTTGAATTTTACAGCTGACATGGCTTTTCCCGCTGGCTTCACTTCCTCCAAATACAAGGTACAGAGTAACATTTCAGCTGCAGTGGCTGTTTATCCTGGATTTTAGTATGGTAATTTCTTTTTTCTCAATATATTTTTTTATTTAACTTAGAAACAAGCTTGCTTCACATGTCGATCCCAGCTCCCTCTCCCACCCCTCCTCCCTTGTCTCTCTACCAGCACCCCCAACTCCTCTCCCAGTCCCCACACCATTCCCTAGGGAGGTGAGGCCCTCCATGAGTGATCTCCAGAGCCTGTCACTTCATCTGGGGCAGGGCCTAGGCCCTCCCCCATGTGCCCAGGCTGAGAGAAGTTCCCTCCATATGGAATGGGCTCCCAAAGTTCATTTGTACACCATGGTAAACACTGATCTACTACCCCAGACCCCAGAGATTGCTGAGGCCTCCTCACTGACACCATATTTAGGGGGGTCTGGATCAGTCCCGTGCTGGCCTCTCAGCCATCATCAGTCTTGGGTCCAAGAGCTCCCCACTATATCTGTGGGTTTCACCAGCACCATCTTGACCCCTTGGCTTATCACTCCTCCCTCTCTGTCACTGGGTTCCAGGAGTTCAGTTCAGTGTTTAGCTGTGGCTATCTGCCTCTGCTTCCATTAGTTACTGGATGAAGGTTATAGGATGGCATATAAGGTAGTCGTCAGTCTCATTATCAGGGAGGGGAAATTAAGGTAGTCTCTCCACTATTGCTTAGTTTTCCAGTTGATGTCATTCTTGTAGATCTCTGGAAATCCCACTAGTGTTAGCTCTCTCCTCAAGCCTATAACGACTCTCTCTATTATAGTATCTCTCATCCTGGTCTCCTCCATTCTTACTCCAACTCAACCTTACTGCTCCCCCATATCTTCCTCTTCTCTTCTCTTCTCCTCCTCTTTTTTCCAGTCCCCTCTTCCCTCCCCCCATGCTCCCAATCTGCTCATGAGATTTTGCCTCATTACCCTTCCCTGGGGTATCTTGCATGTCTCTCTTTTGGGAACCTCTGTGTTTCCCAGACACTTTGGCAGTGGGATTGTAGGCTGACACTCCCCTGATCCATGTTTAAAATCCATATATGAGTGAGTACATATCATGTTTGTCTTTTTGTGACTGGGCTACCTCACTTAGGATGTTTTTTTTCTAGTGCCATCCATTTGCCTGCAAATTTCAAGATTCCATTGATTTTTTTCCGCTGAGTAATACTCCATTGTGTAAATGTACCACATTTTCTCTATGAACTCTTCAGTTGTGGGGCATGTAGGTTGCTTCCAGGATCTGGCTATTACAAATAGTGCTGCTATGAACATAGTGGAACAGACATCCTTGTTGTATGAATGGGCATCTTTTGGGTATATGGGTGGAATTGCTGGATCTTGTGGGAGACTGAGTCCCATTTTCCTGAGGAATTTCCATACTGATTTCCAAAGTGGCTGTACAAGTTTGCACTCCCACCAGCAATGGAGGAGTGTTCCCCTTTCTCCACATCCTCTCCAGCATAAGCTGTCATTGGTGTTTTTGATTTTAGCCATTCTGACAGGAGTAAGATGATATCTCAGAGTTGTTTTAATTTGCATTTCCCTAATGGCTAAGGATGTTGAGCACTTTCCTAAGTGTCTCTCAGCCATTTTAGACTTCTCTATTGAGAATTCTCTATTTAGTTCTGTAGCCCACTTTTTAATTGGATCCTTTGGTGTTTTGGAGACTTGTTTCTTGAGGTCTTTGTAAATTTTGGAGATTAGCCCTCTGTCAGATGTGGGGTTAGTGACTATCTTTTCCCAGTCTGTGAACTGCCTTTTTGTCTTGCTGACTGTGACTTTTGCCTTACAGAAGCTTCACAGTTTCCGGAGGTCCCATTTATTAATTGTCGATTTCAGTGTCTGTGCTACTGGAGTTATATTCAGGAAGCTGTCTCCTGTACTAATTCGTTCAAGGGTACCACCCACTTCTCTTCTAAGAGGTTCAGTGTGGCTGATTTATGTTGAGGTCTTTGATCCATTTGGACTTATGTTTTGTGCATGGCAGTAGACATGGCTCTATCTGAAGTCTTTTATATGCCAATATCCAGTTATGTCAGCACCATTTGTTGAAGGTGCTATCTTTTTTCCATTGTATAATTTTAGCTTTTTTGTCAAAAATCAGGTGTTCATAGGTATGTGGGTTAATATCAGTGTGTTCAGTTCCATTCCATTGGTCTACCTGTCTATTTTTGTGTCAATACCAAGCTGTTTTCAGGACTATAACTCTATGATGGAGCTTGAAGTTAGGGATGGTGATGCCTCTGGACGTTGCTTTGTTGAACAGGGTTGTCTTGACTATCCTTGGGTCTTTTGTTTTTCCATATAAAGTTGAGAATTGTTATTTCAAGGTCTGTGAAGAATTATGCTGGAATTTTGATGGGGATTGCATTGATTCTGTAGATTGCTTTTGGCAGGATTGCCATTTTTACTACATTGATCCTACCTATCCAAGAGCATGGGAGATCTTTCCATTTTCTGGTGTCTTCTTTAATTTCTTTCTTTAATGACTCAGTGTTCTTGTGATACAGGTCTTTCACTTGTTTGGTTAGTGTTACCTCAAGGTATTTTATGTTGTTTGTGGCAATTGCAAAGGGTGATGTTTCTTTGATTTCTTTATCAGCCGTTTTATTGTCTGTATATAGTAGGCCTACTGATTTTCTTGAGTTGATCTTGTATCCTGCCACTTTGATGAAGGTTTTGATCAGCTGTAAGAGTTCCCTGATAGAGTTTTTTGGGTCACTTATGTAAACTATCATATCATCTGCAAATAGTGCAAGTTTGACCTTTTCCTTTCCAATTTGTATCCCCTTGATCTCCTTTTGTTGTCATATTGCTCTAGCTAGAACTTCAAGTACAATATTGAAGAGGTATGGGGAGAGGGGACAGCCTTGTCTTGTTCCTGGTTTTAGAGGAAATGCCTTGAGTTTCTCTCCATTCAGTTTGCTGCTGGCTGTTAGTTTGCTGTATATAGCTTTTATTATGTTGAGGTAAGTTCCTGTTATCCCAGATCTCTCCAAGACCTTTATCATGAAGGGGTGTTGGATTTTGTCAAAGGCTTTTTCAGCATCTAGTGAGATGATCATGTGATTTTTGTTTCCTCAGCTTGTTTATATGGTGAATTACATTGACAGATTTTCGTATGTTGAACCATCCTTGCATCCCTGGGATGAAACCTACTTGATCATGGTGATTTTTCTGATGTGTTCTTGGATTTGATTTGCCTGTATTTTATTGAGTATTTTTGCGTCAATGTTCATGAAGGATATTGGCCTGAGGTTCTCTTTCTTAGTTGTGTCTTTGTGTGGCTTGGGTATCAATGCTATTGAAGCCTCGTAAAAAGAGTTTGGCAAAGACCCTTCTGCTTCTATTGTGTAGAATACTTTGAGGAGAATTGGTATGAGCTGTTCTTTGAATTTCTGATAAAATTCTTCATTGAGGCCATCTGGCCCTGGGCTTTTTTTTTTTTTGGTTGGGAGACTTTTGATAACTGCTTCTATTTCCTTAGGTGTTATAGGACTATTTAAATTGCTTATCTCTTCTTGATTTAATTTTGATAAGTGATATCTATCCAGAAAATTGTCCACTTCCTTTAAATTTTTGAATTTTGTGGAGTATAGGTTTTCAAAATATGACCTGATGATTCTCTGGATTTCCTCTCTGTCCATTGTTATGCCCACCTTTTCATTTCTGATTTTGTTAATTTGCATGTTCACAATCTGCCTTTTGGTAAGTTTGGATAAAGGTTTGTCTATCTTGTTGATTTTTCTCAAAGAACCAACTCTTTGTTGCATTGATTCTTTGTATTTTCCTAGTTTCTACTTTATTGATTTCAGCCCTCAATTATTTCCTGGCATCTGTTCTGCCGGGGTGAGTTTGCTTCCTTTGTTCTAGAGCTTTCAGTTGTGCTGTTAATTGTCTAGTGTGAGTATTCTCCAGTTTCTTCACGTGGGTACTTAGTGCTATGAACTTTCCTCTTAGCACTGCTTTCTAAGTCTCCCATTGGTTTGGGTATGTTGTGTCTTCATTCTCATTGAATTCTAGAAATTCTTTAATTTCTTTTTTTATTTCTTCTTTGACCCATGAATGGTGCAATGGCGCATTATTTAATTTCCATGAGTTTGCAGGGTTTCTGCAATGTGTGTTGTTGTTGAATTCTAATTTTAGAGCATGGTGGTCTGACAAGATACATGGAGTTATTCCAATTTTTTGAACCTGTTGAGGTTTGCTATGTTGCCAAGCATGTGGTCAGTTTTTGAGAAGGTTCCATGTTGCACTGAGAAGCAGGTATATTCTTTTGTGTTTGGTTGGAATGTTCTATAGATGTCTGTTAGACCCAACTGGGTCATAACTTCTATTAGTTCCTTTGTTTCCTTGTTAAGTTTCTGTCTGGTAGTTCTGTCTAATGGTGAGAGTAGGATGTTGAAGTCTCCCACTATAAATGTGTGAGGTTTTATATGTGATTTGAGTTTTAGTAATGTTTCTTTTACAAACATGGATGCCTTTGTATTTGGAGTGTAGATGTTCAGAATTGAGACTTCATCTTGGTCGATTTCTCCTGTGATGAGTATGAAATGCCCTCCTTTATCTCTTTTGATTGATTTTAAAGTCTAATTTGTTAGATATTAGGATTGCTACCCCTGCTTGTTTCTTGGGTCCATTTGATTGGAGCATCTTTTCCTAACCCGTAACTCTGATGTAGCGTCTGTCTTTGAGGGTGAGGTGTGTTTCTTGTATGCAGCAGAAGGATGGATTCTGTCTTTGAATCCATTCTGTTAGCCTGTGTCTTTTTATAGGTAAGTTAAGACCATTAATATTGAGGGATACTAAGGACCATTGATTGCTCATTCTTGTTTGTTTTGGAATGGTTGTTGTTGGTAGAATTGTATGTGGATTTCCACCCATTGTTTCTTTTGGAATTATCTATTGCCTATGTTTTTTTTGGTTGTAGTTAACTTCCTTGCATTAGAGTTTCCTTCCAGAACTTTCTGTAGGACTGGGTTAGTGGATATGTATTGTTTTAATCTGGTTTTGTTGTGAAATATCTTGTTTTTTCCTTCTATAGTGATTGAGAGCTTTGCTGGGTATGGTAGTCTGGGCTGGCTTCTCTTAGTGTTGGTAGAATATCTATCCAGGACCTTCTGGCTTTCAGAGTTTCCATGGAGAAGTCAGGTGTATTCTGATATGTTTGTCTTTATATGTTACTTGGCCTTTTTCCTTAGCTGCTCTTAATATTCTTTATTCTGTATATTTGGGGTCTTGATTATTATGTGGCAAGGGGACTTTTTTTGTGGTCCACTCTATTTGGTGTTCTGTAAGCGTCTTGTACCTTCATTGGCATGTCTTTCTTTAGGTGGGAAAGTTTTCTTCTATGATTTTGTTGAATATGTTTTCTGCCCCTTTGAGGTGGGTTTCTTCCCTTTCTTCTATGCCTATTATTCTTAAGTTTGGTCTTTTCACGGTGTCCTGTATTTCCTGGATATTTTGTGCTAGGTATTTGTTGGACTTAAAATTTTCTTTGGTGGATGAATCCATTTCTCCTAGTGAATCTTCAACACCTGCGATTCTCTTTTCCATTTCTTGTATTCTGTTGGTTATGCTTGCAACTGTAGTACCTGACCATTTGCCCAGCTTTTCTATTTCCAGCATTCCTTCAGACTGTGTTTTTTTTTTTTTTATCGTTTCTATTTCAGATTTCAGCCCTTGCGCTGTTTGAATTTTTGCTTTGTTTTCCTCCATTTCTTGCATTTTTGGGGTTGTTTCTTCCATCTCTTTAAGGGATTTGCTCATATCCTCTTTGACGGCCTCTATCATTTTTATGAAGTTGTTTTTAATGTCATTCTCTTCTTCTTCATTTACATTGGGATGTTCAGGTCTTATTGGTGTAGGGTCTCTAGACTCTGGCAGTGTCATAATTTTTTCTGTTGCTGCGTGTGGTTTTATATTGTCACCTTCCCATTCCTTCTTCCAGTGGGTGCAGAAGGAGTCTCTTCCTCTCCTGGTGGGTGCGGGACCAGGGTTCCCTTCAGGTGGGTGTTGGCAAGTCCAATGCTCTGGTAGCTCTCTTCTGCCTGGTCTCGTGGGTGGAGAAATGGAGTAGGATGCTGGGGTGCTTTGGATCACGCAGGAATGGATAGAGGCCGCCAGTGGCAGACCCCAAGCACAGGCAGGCAGTCCAGGAATGGGGCCTGGTTTACCTAGTCCAGTGGGTGGAGCAGGAAACTAGGATGGTGGGGGTGGGTGACTCCCACCGCTGGGATGGAAGCTGCAGTGGTGGACCCCAAGCACAGACAGGCTAGTATGGTAATTTTTTATACTTTGTTTTCTCTTGTACTGATAGATTTGCATTTAAACACTATGGAAGCCTCGGACATACCTTTGCAGTGTGCTAAGTATGAGTGTGCACACAGGTCTGTGTGTGTGAATGCAGAGAGTGAGTGGGGGAGATGCAAGGTTTTCTTACCTGGTAGTTTTAGTGATGCTGAAAGTTAAGCAGACTGACTTTGATTGTTTCCTTTTCAGATCGTCTTCTTGCATAACGACCGATACATTGAATTTCATTCACAATCAGGTTTTTACTACAAAACCAGAATTCCCAAGTTTGGCAGAGACTTCTCTTACCACTACCCGTCCTGCGACCTGTACTTCGTTGGTGCGAGGTATTCTTCAATATCTTTCTTCTTCCCACCTCTTACACAGCTAGCTTCACTCAGATTGTTTATAGACTTTATCTGCTTAAATGTCCTTAATAGAGAAAGTGATATGTCATTACTGTGAAAGGCATCTATTTTAGAAAAGGGGATTAGCAAAAAAAAAATTTCAGAAGTCTATGTGTTGATCCTTTGTGTTTAGTAGGTGGTATTACTGTAATGTTTCAGCATCTGCTATTTTGCTTACTGAGGTCTTTTTAAAGGCCTGGCTTTAAAATATGTGCATGTGGAATGTTTAAGCTGGGACCCACACAAGCCTCACAGGGTAGCCACATTGCTGCAGTCTACAAGACACCACTGTTTATTTTTCTTTTTGTTCCCCGACTTTTTCTTTATCTCCCAAGTTTATAGTGCCTGCTTTAAGCTTGTTCAGTATTTGTCACTAATATCATATGTAGTTGTGGACTTGGGCTAAAAACTATTTAGGGGGCTGGGGACATGGCTCAGTGGGTAAAATTCTTTGTGTGCAAGCATGGGGACCTGACTTTAGATCCCCACTGTAATATAAAGCCAGGAGTGGAGTGCAGGTCAGTAACCCCAGTGCTGAGCTGTGGAGGGAGGTCCTCGGAGCAGTGTGGCAGGTGGTTGTGAGTGGTTTGAAGGAGGTGCTGGGGGCTGCAAGAGTCCCCGCTCTCCACCACCAAGACTTGGCAAATCCTTGAGCAAAGTGAATATATTTAGAGTAAGGTTTCTATCAGCTTTTCAGAGAGAAGTGATGGCTTACGGGTGATAGCTTTGCATGTGCTTCTGAAGTGTATATTTACTCACAGGAAAATGCTTGTAGTTTATCAGGTTCTTTTGCTTCTTGCAGCTCTGAAGTATATAGATTAAACTTAGAACAAGGGCGGTACCTGAATCCTCTCCAAACAGACGCAGCGTGAGTATTTCAGTCCTGTTGCTGCATTGACTTTGCCCAGGAGATGGAGCCAGAGGCTCGTGTTGTCATCAAATGACCTAGTTGCGTTCAACCAGCCTGCTGGGCAGTCATTTAATAGGATATCATGTTCTTAATCCGAACTGAAGGGTTGTTCAGTTTCTTTCCTTTTTCTAATACCATCAGTCCATCTTGTGAACTTAGTGTACACAAGACACTAGGTTTGCTGCTCAGCAGATAAATAAATGAAGGAATCAAAGTTTTCTGTTGTTAACAAGGAGATTTGCTGAGAAGATCAAATGATACCTTACAAGTTTAAGTTCTCATATGAAAAGACTTGTAATTTAATCCCAGCACTCAGGAGGTAGAATTGGTGGATCTCTGAGTTCCAGACCAGCCTGCTCTACATAGCAAGTTTAAGACCAGCCAGGGCCATATAGAGAAACACGGTCTTAATGAAACAACAACAAAACTTCTGACTGACTTTTAACGTGCTGTTTATTATTTTTTTAGTTGTAGCATTAAGTTTTCACCCATGCTTTGTTTTGTGGTACTTTTATTTTTTGAATTCAGCTTTTAATGACTGCTGGTTCTGGCAGATCCTGTTCTGTCTCCATACACTGGGATAGGTGGCTTCTCCGGGGCCCTGCAGCTAGGCAGGCATGGAAGCTTGAGTCCTACCCATCTGTACTTACAGAACTAACTTTGCCTTGTCTCTGTGAGACGATTCTAAGAGGAGAACATAGAGTGGTAAAACTTCCAAGCTGGCAAGATGGTTTTTTCTGCCGTGGCTTAAAATACTTTTAATTTAAAAAATGTGTAGCTTTGTAATACATTATTGTATAATTACCTGCTCTTCAGCTGCTTAAATTTTTGTTTACAATCTCTGTTATTTATTACGTATCTTTTATACTCTGGACACTGTTGAACATTTTGTTCTTTAATCCTCACAATACCCCATTGAGGTAGGTCAAAATTCACTTCAGTGAGTAAGAAAATGAGGCTTTGTTTGCACTCCCAGGTCTTGAGATTGTCATAGTGATGGCCTGTGTTCTTAAGAATGCAACTTTGCCTTGGAGGAAATAGAGGGCCTTTCTTCTCATGGTGGAATAGAATTTCCGAGGGAGGGCCTCTCCTGTCTGGCATCTACCAAGTAGTGTCACCCTGGGTATCCGAGGCTCTAGTGACTGAGCCAAGCCTTAACTCCCCATGCCTTGATGCATTTCACGTAGGTGAGAGCCTGCATGCTGTCTGTCCACAGTGTTTGGGTGGGCTACAGACTTAGAAGGGTCATGGGGGCCTCTTCCCTGAACTAGATGCTCCCTAACACTTCTTTCCTGTTTGCTTCACTGTTTCAGGGAGAACAATGTTTGTGACATAAATGCCGTGCATGGTTTGTTCGCCACAGGAACAATAGAGGTTAGCACCTATTGACTTCATTTGTGTAGATGTGTTTTCATCTGTTTGCAGTTCCATTTTTTTCTTTAAAACTTTTTTTACATTTATTTATGTTGTGTGCTTGTGTATTTTGTGTGACCATGTTCGCACTTGCCATAGTGCTTAGAGATAAGAAGGCAACTTACTGGAATTGATTTTCTTCTTTCATATGTGTCCTGGGGATTGAACTCAGGTTGTCAGGCTTGGTGGTGAGTTCCCTTGCCAAGCCTGCAGTTCTATTTTCATTCAAAATTGAATTTTTTGGGACTGGAGAAATGGTTCAGCAGTTGCAAGTGTGTATTGTTCTTGTAGAGGACCCAGATTTGGTTTCTACCTCCCAGATAGGGCAGCTCACAACTGTCTGTGACTCAGGCTCTGGGGGAATCTGACACCATCTTCTGGTCTCTTTGGATATATGCACCCACAAGCTCATACCTGTACACAGACATACACATGTATATAATTAAAATAGAGACCTAGCATTGTGAAGCCTAGGTTTGGTCCCTAACTGTGCCAATAATTAATCAATCCTCAGTGCTTAATTTCTGAAAAAATATTTATATCTTTAGAAATGTTGAATACAGCCAGGCAGCAGTGACACTCAGGAGGAAGAGGCAGGTGGGATCTCTGTTCATTTCCCAGCACCCACATGACAGCTCCCAATTGTCTGTAACTCCAGTTTCAGGGGTTCCAGCATGCTCTCATATATGTAGGCAAAACACCAATGCACATAAAATAAAAATAAATAGTTAAAAAAAAGACTCAAGCCAAGAATGGTAGATCACACCCCAGCACTGGATATTGGAGAGTCAGAAGTTGAAGGCCAGCCTTGGCTACACAGTGAGTGCCTGGCTAATCTAGGCTATACAAGTCTTCATCTCAAAAAGCCCAAAAAAAAAAAAAAAAAAAAGAGTACAGAGTAGTACAGATTAAAGACATGTTTATCCTATCGTCTTAGCTACTCAGGAGGCTGATATAGGAAGATCACTTGAGCCCAGGAAATAGAGCAAGCCTAGATAACAGTAAGGTTCTTATTCAGACAGACAGACAAAACCATAAAGACCTTTTTCATAAAGTGGTAATACTTTTATTATTACTGAGAAATTTAACACTGATATGATGATTTGTATAAAATACCAATGTCTTCATTGCTCCTTCTGTCCATAGGAGCCAATCCAAGATTCATGTGCATAGTTGGGACTTTTTCATTACTCGTTTCCTTAATTATGAAAGTAAGTCACCTCTCGGTGAAACGTGACAGTGCCAAGATTATAGAGTAAAAGCTAAGCTTTGATTCTTTGTGAAATTAGTGGCAATAAATCTTATTTTTGATAAACTTTTGAAATTTTTCTAGTAGTAGCTTTCACTTAAAATTGGTTTTTCCTTTGTTTAGGGTCGAGTGGAATGCTGGGATCCGAGAGTAAGAAAAAGAGTCGGAGTGTTGGACTGTGCATTAAATAGCGTCACAGCAGATTCAGAGTAAGTAGCCATCAGTTGTTGTCGAACCGTCAGTCAACCTTCTGATTTATGTCAGCGTGTCCGTGTGACATTAACTGCTAGAGGATGGAACTCTTTGTGGCTCACATCTGAAACTGGTGTCTGTGATTGTTCCTGTAAAGCCGTGGGCAAGCGAGGCAGATGCCTCTTACAACACTGCACAGAACGGCACGTTTCTTTAGTTGCTGTGGGATTTGTCAAATCTGTTGTAAGAACTGATGTTTCAACTCTGCAGGATCAGTGGTTGGGTGAGACCTGCTACTTCAGTTAGTAGACTGGAAAGTGTTTGAATGCCCTGGTAGAGGAAGCAAATGATGATTTTTTTTTTCTTGTTCTTGTTGGTCTAATTTCTAAACATTTAGAGAGTGGTACATTCTTGGAGAAACCTGTAACACCATAGTGGATTGAAAGCATCTTTGTGTGCTGGCTTCCCAGGCTGGCACCACTGCCCTGTGTTTGCTGTGGGATGTATGGACAGATCACCCACCCTCAGGCAGACCCTTGCCCTGGGCTTGTCTGCTGCAATCGTTTCAGACATGCCTTCCTCTGGGCTCGTGGTATTCACCATCTTCTGCTTCCCCAGTACATCCTCATGTACTTCAGAGAGGATTGACACACTCTCTGTTGACATACCATGTGGGGGGGGGTGAAGTGTCTGATGGTCACAGGCTGCAGTGACACCAAGCACCCTTTAAATTATGGCAAGGTTTTCCTACCTTTAGGGTAGGCATTTATGGTTCCTTTGAGAAATGGAATATCATTAGTCTAAGATTAAAAATAACTCAGTTAGCTGATGCAGTGCAGTGGGAGTGTGCAGTGACTATGGAGTGTGCAAGGCTGTGTGCAGTGTGCGAGGCTGTGCAGTGTGCGGTGCTTGTGCAGTGTGCGAGGCTGTGCAGTGTGCGAGGCTGTGCAGTGTGCGGTGCTTGTGCAGTGTGCAGTGTGCAGTGCTTGTGCAGTGTGCAGTGTGCAGTGCTTGTGCAGTGTGCGAGGCTGTGCAGTGTGCAGTGCTTGTGCAGTGCTTGTGCAGTGTGCAGTGCTTGTGCAGTGTGCAGCGCTTGTGCAGTGTGCGAGGCTGTGCAGTGTGCAGTGCTTGTGCAGTGTGCAAGGCTACAGGTTCAATTCTCAGTATCGTCGTTTTTTTTTAAACAAACTAGAAAGAAGAGAATTAGAAAGATATGTCTTTCTAAATATATAAATCTTACTCTGTGCTAAGAAATAAATTTTAAAGCAAACAGATCTGTAGGAGTCACTGATAATATATCTTAAGGCTGTTTACTTCAAATAGACATGCAGTGACTATAGGAGATGTGATACTAGACAATCTAGTAGGAGAGTTGTGAAAAAAAAGTCATCTTTAGAAATATGGAAACACTTTTTTTCTTTTTCTTTTTTTGGTTTATCAAGACAGGGTTTCTTTATGTAACCTGGAACTCATTCTGTAGACCAGGCTGGCCTTGATTGGGAAAGCTGTCTCTGCCTCTCCAGTACTGGGATTAAAGGCATGGACTACCACATATGGCTGAAATATACACTTTTTAAAAATAAAATAGACTCCCAGGATACCTAGGGTTGTTACACAGAGAAACCTTGTCTTAGAAAAAAGTTGACTCTCATTTTAGAGGTAAGGCATTTTCAGCTGTTGAGGTATAGAGCATATCAAGACAGGGTGTCTCTGTGTAACAAACAGCCTTGACTTTCCTGAATCTCACTCTGTAGACCAGGCTGGCCTTGAACTCACAGAGATCTGCCTGTCTCTGCCTCCAGAGTACTGGAATCAAAGGTGTGCGCCACCATGCCTGACTATTTTTTTCTTTTTTTATATTAAGAGCTTGTTTAGTTTTGAGACAAAGCTCTCTTGTAGCTTCAGGCTGTCCTGGAACTCACTGAGAGCTGAGAACGCCTTGAACTCCCAGTGCTCTCCCTGTCCAGTGCTGGGATTGTACCACCCACCCTACCATAGCACTTTATATTTGCCAGAGACTTTGGTGAGTTCTCTACATACAGAAAGATGTTTTTGTTGGGTCCTTTGGCTTGATGTGCTTTGTAGAAGAAAACTCTTCATCAGTGGCATGCTCAGTATTTGGCTTTTGAGAATTATGTTTCAGAAGCGTGTTCATGTAGGGAAGGGTCTGTAAATACACATTTTCAGATGCACTTTTCAGTGGGAAAGAAAAACCACAGTTGGCAGAATTTCATTACATTTTTGTCACCTGTTTATAAAAAGGACAATGACCTTGCATGTGGATAGTCATGGATTTTATCATTTCTATAAAGATTTATTTTTATTTGTGTGTATGTGTACCTGCCCTTGAAGGCCAGAAGAGAGTGTTAGATCCTCTGAAACTGGAGTTGTGGACAGTTGTGAGCCACTATCTGTGTTCTGCGAAATTGAAACTTGGTCCTCTAGACTAGCAGCTAGTGTTCTTAACCACTGACCTGTCTCTCTAGCCCCTGTATTTTATTTTTTATGTTTGGCTTTATGTTTCTCTTACAAACCTTGTAGCTTGTCCGTCACTTGTTACTTAAACTCTAGAAGGTGAAGGAGACAGAAACATTGACAGAGGGGAGGGCTGGTGTCCACTTCTTTTGTGAGATGTGATCTCACTATGTAGCCCTTCTTCAGCCTCCTCAGTGCTGTGGTTACAGGCGTGCGTCACCACAGCCAGCTGTTGCTTACTTCTGACCTAACGTCTTTTGTTTTCCCAGCTTGGTCTTTTGGTGCTAGTGTTCATAGGTGGTGTGTGAGAGTTCTGTTCTAGAACTGGCACCATACCCTTTGTTCTGCCTCCAGTACTTTAGAGATCCTAGGGTCTTCATTTGGGTATTAATCTTTTATTTTCGATGGATGAAATTGATCTATTTCATTTTTAAACACTTTTAAATTATGGGTATATGTGTATGTGTATATGCCCATGTGTACAAGTGCTTGCAGAGGTCAAAGGTATCAGATCCCCTGGAACTGGAGTTATAGGTGGTTGCGAGCCACCTGACATGGGTGCTGGGACTTGATCTCGGGTCCTCTGCAAGATCAGTACATGTTCTTAACCACTAAACCATCTCTCCTTGCCTTAGTGAAGTTGGTTTTACATCAGAAGTAAGCATAACCATGTCCCAAGATAAGTTGTTCCCTGAGTAAAGATGGGGATGTTTGGGGGCTGGGGGAGATGGCTTGCTAGCTGTACAAGGCATGACTCAGTTCAGATCCCAGTATTCATGTACACCCGTCACAGCAGCCACACACAGGTAATCCCAGAGCTGGAGACGTACAAATGGGAAGATCCCGGAGGTTCCTGACTAGCAAGCTCCAGAATTACCCAATATCCTATTTCAAAAGTGCAATAGGTTGAAGTTGAGGAAGATAACTGATGCTGATCTCTGGCTCACATACATGAACATGTACACATATTTAAGCGTGTGCTCTTGCGCACACACAAAGATGTTTCTAAAAACAACCTTCTATTATCTGAACAGAATGGAAGGTAAAGGTGGGTTAGGGGATTACATTTGTATGTGAAGTGTCAAGTTTGTATGCTGCCAAGGCACACACCTTTAATCCCAGCACTCGGGAGGCGGAGGCAAGTGGATCTCTGTGAGTTGGAGGCCAGCCTGGTCTACAACAGCGAGTTCCAGGACAGCCTCCAAAACTACACAGAGAAATCCTGTCTTGGAAAAACCAAAAAAAAAAAAAAAAGTTTGGCTGCTGTTAGACTGTAAACAAATACTTGGATGTGTGATTTTCCTTGTCAGATTTGAAGTGAAGATAAATGATGAGCCTGTTATTTAGTAAAAGGTTTGGTCACATAGTCACAGAGAACAAACATTTTCCTTCCAGGATAAACAGCTTGCCTACCATCTCTGCATTGAAGTTTAATGGTGCCCTGACCATGGCGGTTGGAACATCCACAGGGCAGGTAAATACGTTCGAGGTGGAAACTTCACATGTAAGCCAATGTTTTGGATATGTATTGGGAGACACATACTTGGGACAGGGAGTGAGGCTGTTCCCTTTTGGCCAGAGTGGAGAGAGTGTTCCAGAAAACCAGGCCCTTCTAGCACCTGGGGAGATTGGTCTAGGTCCTTTAGAATTGAAATTGAAGTGGGGTAGTATCCTAAGACACGTGTGTGTGTGTGTGTGTGTGTGTGTGTGTGTGTGTGTGTGTGTGTGTGTGTGTGTGTGTGATTTTTTTCCAAGATGTTTCTCTGTAACAGTCCTGGCTGTCCTGGAACTTGCTCTGTAGACGAGTCTGGCCTCGAACTCACAGAGATCCATCTACCTCTGCCTCCCCAGTATTGATATTAAAGGCATGTACCACCACACCGATTCAAGGTGCCTTTTTTTCCCATGTAGTCCTTAGAATTCATCCTGCAGTGTCCACTGAGTTTGCCTTCATCTTTCCAGTCTGTTCTAAACCGCTCCTTCCTTGTAAGTTGTCTGACCACAAAGAGATCGGAGATAGCCTGTAAGAGATTTACTGCCTCTCATTCAGGACTACAGGGGATCTGTTACCTGAGATGGTAAAAAGACTTTCTGGGATCTCCTGACTCTAATGATGGAAGTCAGGAGAGTCTCCCCAAATCATAGCCTTGCCGCTGCCTCCTGTCTTGGATCTGCCAGGTCCTTTCCTACAGAGGAATGCAGTGGCTGCATTCTCTGTCACGTCACTGCGCAGCAGTGCCTGCTGTGTCCCAGGCCGTCATACGGATTTGCTAATTAAGAAGTGAAACACTTAACGGACTTCTGTTCCTTTCTTAGTGTAGATCAGTACTTATCAAATCAGGGTACCTAAAAACTATTCCTGGGGTTGAAGTTCTAAAACTACTCTGAGGGCTGACATTCCCATTAGGCTTTGAGTAAATGTGTTTGTTGAGTTAATAGAAGATTATGAAAGATGTGGCACTCATTATTCCAGGTATTATTTATTCGTTTATTTATCTCTGAGATCTTCTCCTGTAGCCCAGATTGGCTTCAAACCCCATATGTAGCCAGAATGACCTTGAATTCCCGATTGATTCTTTTGCATCCATATCCTAGGTGCTGAAGTTACCGGCATGTGCCACCATGCCTGGCTTTTGTTATACTGGGAGTGAACTGGGAGCCTGTACTTCTTGGGTCAGTCCTCTCCTAGCTAAGCCACCTACCTAGCTCCCAGTATTCCTACTTTCAAATGTGTTGTTTTGAAAACTGCTTGTTTGACTAGAATGAACTATTTTCTCTTTTAGGTATTGCTGTATGATCTTCGCTCAGACAAGCCATTGCTAGTTAAGGATCACCAATACGGGCTGCCCATTAAGTCAATTCATTTCCAGGATTCATTAGATTTGGTCTTGTCTTCAGACTCCAGAATTGTCAAAATGTGGAACAGGAACTCTGTACGTATTTTCCATTGAAAGTGCTCCCCGTTTTCTTTGCCTCTTCCCAGTGCTTCTTTCCTTACCGTTGTGTTTTGGAGGCTTTTGTGAGGTCTTGAGAAAAGGTGCTGAGTGACCATCTGGGAACCAGCAGGTTCATCACTTTAGGGCAGGCACATCTGTGCTCGGTAAGGCTGAAGTGAGTCTGTCTGCAGTTAAGGAGCACTCTCTTGGCTAGCCGTGGCTGGTGTGCTTTTTACCTACATGCACTTGTGCTGTCATGTGCATGAGGAAGTCAGAGGACTACTTGGGGGATTGAACTTAGGTCATCAGGCTTGGCGGCAAGGGTCTGTACCCCGTCAGCCAGCTTGCTGTGCCCCTGGCATGCATTGTAGAAGTATGTTAGATGGAGAAAAATCGTGAAAGAGAACGATTTTATTTTATTGTCGCCTGTGAGGGTATGTGTGCTGTATCGCACATGGGGATCAGAAGGCAGCTTGGGTTCCGGGGAGTGATGCAGGGCCTCGGGGTGCGCAGAACTTTGACCTAGTGGGTCATCTTGCCAGCTCCATTCTGAGAGCCAGAGGCGGAGTTCTGGGGGCTGCTAATTGCCTTTCTGTGCCAGTTACACTGCATGGCCCAGGTTCATAGCACCTCAGACAAGTAGGGTTAGAGGTGTCACCTGTACAGTAATTCCATATGTCTGCCTGCCTGCCCACCTGCCTGCCTGTCTGCCTACCTGCCTGTCTGTCTGTCCGCCCACCTGCCCGCCCACCTGCATGCCTGCCTGCCCACCTGCCTGCCCGCCCGCCCACCTGCCTGCCTGTCTGCCTACCTGCCTGCCTGTCTGTCCGCCCGCCCGCCTGCCTGCCTGCCTGTCTGCCTGTCTGCCTGTCTGTCTTTAGTGATACTAGGATCGAGCCCTGGCCTGGTGCGTGCTTAGCAAACACCGTAGCGATGAGTTACATCCTCAGTGTACGTTTTCTTTTATTTCGAGAGGGTTGTGGTAACAAGTAGTGTTTCCTTAAGAATATTTGGATGCTAGGCAGTGGTGGAGCACACCTTTAATCCCAGCAGAGAGAGAGGGATCTCAGTGAGTTTGAGGCCAACCTGGTCTATAGAACAAGTTCCAGGACAGCCAGGGCTATGCAGAGAAACCCTGTCTCAAAAAAAAAAAAAAAAAAAAAAAAGAAATTAAAAAATAATTGGTGTTTTCCTTCAACTCCAAGTGTTAAAAGTAACACACTTCTGCATTGCTAATTTTAATCTACCTTCTCTGTTTTTTTCATTAGTTAAATGATTTTTGTATGTCTGTTTGTTTTAGGCAGGGTCTCATATAGCTCAGGATAGCATCAAATTTGCTATGGGTGACCTTTAACTCCTGATCTGTCAGCTGGGCCTCCAGAGTACATAATTGTAGGTGCATTCCACCATGCCTAGGCTCCCTCCCTCCCCATTTTAAAACCTAAGTATTAGGTGGGTATGATGGCTCTTGCCTGTCACCTCAGTACTTAGGAAATAAGGTAGGAAAATCAAGTTCAAGGCCACCCTGGGCTAAATTGAGACTCTGTGTCAAAGCCATTTTGAGAGGACTGAAGGTAGTTCCATTACATCAATAAAACAAATTCAGTACAGCAATTACTTCTGTTACTCTGTTTTTACAAATTAAAAAGTAGATTAAAGTTGTATTCATGTGTGTGCAGGTGTATCTGTGTTTCTGGTTTCTGCCATGTTGTTCAGGTGACCCCCTTGGAACAGGAATTAAAGGCATTTATGAGCTGCCCAACCAGGGTGGTGGGAACAGAACTCAGGTTCTTTGGAAGAGCAGTAAGTGCTCTTAACTTCTGAGCCATCTCTCCAGCCCTATAACTTGTAATAATTTTGTTTTCACTATATATACACTAATTCTGTAGGCTAAAAGGTGTTCATTTAAAAACAGTCCTGAGATGGTACTGGGCAAGAGGCCCATGCCCTCTGCACTCACTTCCTAGAGCAGGCGATGGGTCCTGTGGGCACATGCTGTGCATGGGGCAGAGGACTACAGGCCGCTCAGTCACACTCCAGCCACCGGTCACTCTGACTTTTCTAGCCAGTTCTTTAGGTTTTTTTTAAATTTTGCATTTTTGGAGCTAGAGAGGTAGCTCAGTGGTTCAGAGCACCGGCTGCTCTTCCAGAGGACCCAAGTTCAATTCCCAGCAGGATAGCTCACAGCTTCCTGCAACTTCAGTCCCAGAGGGTCAGACGCCCTCTTCTGGACCCCCCAACACTGCATGTACATGTGGTATAGTCATACATTCAGGTTAACACTCGTACACAGAAGAGTAAGTTCTCAAGATTTTATTTTTAATTTTTGCATTTTTATCTCCAGAGGTGGTGACCTTACTTTCTGTAATCTTCTGGCTCCATCTTGGTGTTTACAGCTCTTCTTGAGATGTAGCCATTCCAGTGACTGATGAGAAGTGGACCAGCTTACAGCATTTCTGAATTCTTAGAAATATTACCCTGATGCTTGCAGGGGCATTGATTATGCTTTCTGCTTTGTAGAATTTGAGTTTGAGGGGTTTGAGGATTCTTGGAGGACTTGGCATATTTTAGGTGAATAGTTTTTCTGGCTATCCTAGCTATTGGAAAAACTTTTTAACTGGGGAGGGTGTGTTGCCTGTAACTTCCCCACATAAGAGCCTGACTGAGGCAGGAGGACCAAGAGTTTGAGGTCAACTTGGACTATGCAATGAGACCCTGGATCAAACAACAACAATAATAATAAAATTTAAAAGCCTGCTGATTGCTTTTAATTGTGCACACATTTTGTTTACTTAGAGATAATCTCACTATGTAGATAAGGCTGGCTGGAACTCACTATGTAACTCGGTCTAGCCTCAAACTCACCTTCCTACCTCCACTTTCTGAATGCTGGGACTATAGCTATGTGTACCACAGCTGGCTCCTTCTTCTGAAAACTCCCAAGAGACTGTAAAGAAGGTGTGCCCTTGACCTGGCTTCTGTACTGCCTAAGCTAGTGATGAATTCAGTTTGGATATGTCCTTCCAGACCCCTGTGCTGCAGGTTCTGTGACCTGTGGAGCCCTTTGTCTCTGCTCTGTGTGCTCCATGTGTCTGTCACTCCATGCCATCATCGTGTTCTCTGGCTTTTCCTTGCCCTCTCCTTCCCACTTGAGTGTGAGATAGCTGGGCGAGTTTCACTGCCCTGATGAGCAAGAACTTGGCTACCATTTTTCATGAACCATGAAAAAACCACCCTGCCTGGGCTTCAGCTCCACCCACCTCTGCCCTGGCAGTACCACATCCTGGTGTCAGTCTTCTGGACATGACTTATGACTGCAAGAGCTGGCAGAACTTGTCAGCATCCCCACTGAAGACATCGTGCCTTAATTACAGCAATCAATTTTTATTTTGGCACTTTTTGTTTCTTAAGACGAAATGCTTCCTCTTGACTAACAGATTACCCGGCTCTGTTCCTTGTTTATCTTTCTCCTTGTCTTCTCCACGCCTACCCCCTTCTGTGTCTTTTTCTTCTCTCTCTCTCTCTCTCTCTCTCTCTCTCTCTCTCTCTCTCTCTCTCTCTCTCTCTCTCTGTTTTATTTATTTGTTTATTCTTTTTTTTTTTTTTCCTGAAATAGGGTTTCTCTGTGTAACTTTGGAGCCTGTCCTGGAATTCGCTCTGTATGCCATGCTGGCCTCGAACTCACAAAGATCCTCCTACCTCTGCCTCCCAAGTGCCTGGATTAAAAGCATGAGCCACCAATGCCCAGCCCCTTCTCTTATTTTTACTAATGGTACAGTAGGCCACTCCCCACCTTTAATAGAATGTTTTAGCTTCTCAGTGTACTTTGTGTCCCCAGGGTCCCCTGTTGTGCTTCATGGTCTTTTGGGCTTTGGTGACGCTGCTGCACGGTTCACCTCTAACTCTGTCGTCTGCCATGTACCGGCATCTCTAAGACATTTAATCTTCTGTTTTGTTTAAAGAACTCAACTCTGCCACAGCTTCTTCATTTCTAAAATGAGAATATCTGATACGCTGATAAGATTTTTAAGTATAAATTCTTTCAATTGGGTTATTTCTCTTATATAGCACTAGGTGGGTTTTGTCTCCATTTTATTTTCCTTGTGTGCCATTGATAAAAAGCTGTCTTTGATGATCTCAGTCATTCATGTTTGCTTGCTGTTTTAGGGGAAAATATTTACTTCATTGGAGCCAGAACATGACCTGAATGATGTTTGCCTCTATCCCAACTCAGGTGGGTTCTGGAGTTCCTGTGTTGGGGTTTTAAGCTACATTTGCTTCCTAAGCTCACATTTGGCGTGGTCAGGACAGTTTTGAGTTTTCACTCACTTGGGAGAGGGAAGAGCAGGAAGTGGTGAGGATGATTCAGAAAGGGACACTCTTCATGACTCAGTGCTCAGCTTGCCTAGCTCTGGGTAGAAACCGGTAGCAAAGTGCGGGTGGGCGGCAGGTGAGAGCTATTTTGGTGTATTCTTTTATGTGATTAGTAATAGTATGTGGAAATTGAGGTTAGGGACTTGGAGGCGGCTGCAGTCACCTGGCAGTACAGATGGTTATAAAGGGTTGGGATATTCTGCATCATGTACTGCTCAGCAAATTATATGATGGGTTTCAGAATCCAGGAACACGTTCAGGGCAGATCCTGAATGTGGTCTGAGAGAGTGAGAACCCTCCCAGTCTCAGGCCGTGTCCTCTGAAGACAGGCACACACAATTCTGCTGACAGGAATGTCTCATTACATATGTGTCCGAATCAGAGCCACAGAGGACAGGCAGAGAAGCCTGTCAGGGACTTACGTAGAGGGATTTATTAAATGGGATGAGAATGGCTTTGTGGGTGAGGTGATTCACTGAGCAGACAATGTTAGAAGAGTAACAAGGAGGGTTATGGCAGGGCTGGTGACCTGAGTGCCTGGGCTCCATCTGTCACCAGAGGGCCCACACAGATGAAGGTGGACTGACTTGGAACTGCAGTGCCTAGAAAGTAGTGTTCTGAGTTAAGGTAGCAAGCACATGTGACATCTATGTATCAAGCAGTGACAGGAGAGACCTAGTGTCTGTTTGCCACAGGCCAGCACCTGGAGCCACCTAGTGCACCATCGCATATGTGGTCTCCGGGTAAGCAGGTGTGCCGAGAGTGTTCTTCGACAAGGATACAGACGGATCATTGAAGAAGTGGTAGTAGGTGTGGTCACCACAGGAAGCATGAGACTGTAGATAGCAGGAGCGCTTCTGTTAAGAGCGATGGGGAGAAAGCCAGTGGAGAACCTTGGCAGGGCTGGATACAGTAGAGAAGCACAGGCGTTCTGACCGTGGGGAGAATCCGAGGCAGTGTGTGCTTGCAGCGGGGGCCTGGAGGGAAGAGCAGACTGCCATTTTCAGTGCAAAAATTGAAGGCTCTCACTTACTTACTGTAACCTTGTAGTCAGTGACCCACAGTTTGTTTGTTTTTTCCTCTGTCTAGCTTTTGAGCTTGTTTTGTGTGTGTGTGGGGGGGCGTGTGAGAATCTCCCTCTGCGTTTCAGCAGCTTCCCTGTAGCACAACTTGTGGCCCAGCCTGGATTCAAACTCAGGCTTTTCCTTCTGGGTCCTGGGGTTGTAGTGGGCAACACCACAGTCGGCTTGGCTTTCTTTCTTGCTCCGTGAGAGGTCATAGCAGTTGTGTAGTCTACCAGGGTTATTTACCTGGCCTGGCCTTGGCTAGAAGCTTCTGAAAGAGACTCCAGTTACATGCTACTAGGGAGGGGGATGGGCAATGGAGGATCCTGTCATTCGCATGTCATCTGTAAGAATGGCAGGGTCTTGTGCTGATGCATGTAAAGTCACCTCTGCAGAGGTGAGGGACTCGTAGAGAAGGTGCTGAGGTCCTAGGTGAGGTGTTGAAACGAACTAACATGGATTCTCGGCTACAGTGGCAGCTCAGTGAGGGGGGAGGGGAGAGGAGAGGCTGGCAGGGGAGGGACAGTCTGAAAGGGTGCATACCACCCACCACACACCATGCTATCCCCCTCTTCTTCATTTGTAAGGTCAGGCCAATCTTGTGGTAGAATGTCCGTCCCTTGGATGTATGTGGTTGCTCTTCTGGGTGTCATGTAGCTTGTTTACTGTCCTGTCCTGGATCTAGAATAGCAGTGGAGGATTGATTGATTGATTGATTGATTGATTGATTGACTGATTGAGCTTAACAGTGACGTCCCCAACTTGATGGAACTTAGTGAGACCACTAGCTCTATGGAGTGTGCCGAGTATGGTGGCATATACCTTTAATCTCAGCACTTGGGAGGCAGAGGCAGGCGAATATCTGAGTTTGAGGCTACCTGGTCTACAGACCTAGTTCCAGGATAGCCATGACTATAGAGAAATTCTCCTGTCTTTTGAAAAACCAAGAACTAAGAAGAATCACAGACAAGCCTCATGCCAGACTTCAGGCCCTGACTGTCAGATCTCATTCCACAGGTTACCCATGTGGGGAGGATAAGGCTGGTTCAGTGTGTTGGGGAATCTCCTTTACCATGTGTGGTTTGGATGAGAAACAACTTTTTTCGGTCAGATGACTTGCAAGAGGCAAAGTGGTTAGGTGTGCACCAACCAGGCCAGTAATTGTTTCATGAGACCATGGTGTAGTTAGGTGCTGGCCTCGGCCTGTTGGCTTGGGCCCCTTGCTGTGCTTGGAGGCTGTGTGCTGCCCTTGCTTTACCATACTGGTCTTCCCCTCCGCTCTGTGCTGTGGTCTTCATCACCAGGTACCTAGTCATAGTTTAGAAAAGCTAAAATCCCCTTTTCATATGTCCACATACTCATTTTTGGAGTAATAGAGCCTAATCATGAGTAGTGATGTTTCTCTGTTTGCAAGGCAGCTCCAAATACTGAGAAATGATTTTGCCTTCCTAGCTCATCTTCTGGTCCTTGTCTGGCTACTCTGGCAGCCTCTTGCACAGCCTCCATGCATTGAGCAGCCATTCTGCACAGGTCAGGGCACTGTCAGGCAGCCCAGCTCTGGGACCTGGTGTGCATGGCTCGATGACTCGTGTCTGAGTCCTGCCCCAGCCTGTAAAGGCAGGATTAGAGGTTCAGAGCCGTTGACAGGAAGAGAAGAAGGTGATCCTTGGACTTGAGAAAGACCCACTTTAGGCTTAGTTCTGCTCATTATGCCCCTCAGCTTTCTCACCTGCCGTACAGAGCTTCAGGACCACCTAGACTGTGGAAAAGGCCAGTCGCTCTCCATCTCCCTCAGCAGAGTGTGACTGAAGCTGTGTGTTTTACTGTGGTGCTTTTTACACACGCTTGATCAGCCAGCCAGCCAGCCTGCCTGCCTGCCTGCCTGCCTGCCTGCCTGCCTGCCTGCCTGCCTGCCTGCCTGCCTGCCTGCCTGCCTGCCTGCCTGCCTGCCTTTCTTTCTTTCTGTGCTTTTCACCTTCGACCCCTTGCAGATTGGTACTTTTGTACAGAACAGTGAAGATGACTTACTAGCAAAATGGTGACACATGGAGATAACACTGCTGTGGTTTGATTTTGTCCTCTTTTGACACTGCTGTGTTAAGCTGCCTACAGGCTTTTAGGTCCCTTTCATTTTCTGTACTTTTATCACCAGCCTGGTAGCAGGTGTAGATGGCTCAGGGAGCTCACCCTAAGTAGCACTGCTATAGAACACTGTTTCTAGATTTGTGTCTTAAGCCTGATGAGCCCTTTCCCTGAAGTATACCCACATGAGTTCTGATACGCACACGTGTGTGTGTAAGGGGGGGGGTGCATGTGTACCCACATGTGCTGTTTTATCGGATCTCTGACACCACTCACATCAGAGGAGTGTCTTTGACTCCAGATGCTCATGTCTTTTCTCCCTCTGAACAGTTTTTTTCCTCTTGGGAACCATAAGCAGCAGCATCTTGAAAAATTGAGTGGAAATACTGTCCCTAATTCCAGTCTCCTCAAAAGAACTGTTACTGCTCATAGAGAAAATGGCTACACCAAGCCCATGGTCCTCGTTCTGCTCTTTGAATCACTGTTGCTCTTTAGTTTGGTGTTACGTTAGAAACAGAAAGCAGGCTGAGGAAGGCGTGTTGGCAGCTACACATAGGTGGCAGAATTGTTTTTCATTTTGTTGGTGATATTTAGACTATTAGTGGTTTATTTGACAATGTAAGAAACCTATTCATCTTATCTGTTTTGAGTGTAGTTTTCATGTTCCACATTGTATGGGCTGGAGATGTTTATTTTAAAGGGTACCATGCTCACTGAGATCATATTTGAGCTGGTCAAGAATCATGCATTACCTTCTAAGGGGTCAGGAAGATGTTGGCTGAGTTCATGTGTAGTCATGAGAGGCATGGCTGTAGTACATCTTGTGCAGAGCTGAATGCCTCTCTGAAACCTTCTTATGGCCTTGGCCCATGAAATTTATAGATAGGGAGCCAGAAAGGCAGCTTGCAAATACTGGCAACTCAGGCCTTTGAAAATGTAAAACAAGTAGAAAGGGTAATTCTTGTCATGTGTTTAACTTCTCATTGTGTTTGTTTTCAGGGATGCTTCTCACTGCCAATGAGGCCCCCAAGATGGGCATCTACTACATTCCGGTAAGAGCCAACAGTAGCAGGCACAGGGTGTGACTGGTTGTGTTGACAGCCTTTGGGCTTGTGTGGCTGTGCTCACTGTAGACTCAGAGTGTTCTGCGGCCGAGTAAAAGTCTCAGCATTCTGCTGCGCGGATTGTTTCGTGCTGTCTTAGCGCAGGCGTGAAAAAAACGACATGCTTTGTTTGTTTTGCTGTGAAGTATTTCCGAATCTAGAACTTCCAGCTACTTACAAAGCGGAGGTCTAAATCAAACTGAGAATCTGGTGCAATGCTAGTTGCCTCACTGTGGTTTGTTTCTGTCACAAATCAGTCCTGCATGAGAGAGGCCATCTTAGATGGTAAGGATTATCGGTGATGACATGTAGCTTACAATCTATTAGTTTTTTGTTTTGTTTTGTTTTTTGTTTTGTTTTGTTTTTTGTTTTTCGAGACAGGGTTTCTCTGTATTGTTTTGGAGGCTGTCCTGGAACTCGCTCTGTAGACCAGGCTGGCCTCAAACTCACAGAGATCCGCCTGCCTCTGCCTCCCGAGTGCTGGGATTAAAGGCGTGTGCCACCAACCCCCGGCTTACAATCTATTGTTATGTTGTCGTCCTTAAAGAATTGTTCTTCTGCATCAGGAGTTTCCACATTTTGCCCTTTAGTCTATAGGAGGAGAGAAAAGGAATATGTTCTCTTAGGAAGGCAGCCTTCGTGTAGAACTGGCATAGCCATTCTGGGGTCTGGGGGAGGAGGGGGTGTTGGGCCTTGCAGATAGGAAGATTTGAGAGCAGTGGACTCTAGGACTGCTGTGGGCTGCTAGTCATGGAAAGTCTTCCTTGGACTGGATCAGCTGTATGTGACTTGGTTTTTCCCACTCCACCTGCTGTTGAGCTCTGTGTCTTGGGGAATTGATGCTGCAGCACTCTGTAGTGTTTGTTCTGAGTGATAGTAAAGTGAGGCTGTTCAAACCGGAAGCTGCTGCTGTTCCTGCATTGTTGTCTGCTTCTCCCACCCAGCCTCACAGATACTGGTTCCTTTATTCCCATGGTTCACTCATCTTCCTGTGTTTCTGTTGTTGAATAGCCGTGTGCCAGGTACCACACTGACTCCAGCCAACATTTGTGGCGTGTGGAGTTGTTATGAGTAATGGAGACTTTGAATGCAGGAGCAAGAGGGGCTGATGGTAGCTGAACGATGAGAAGTTGTTGTCCTGACTCACAAGGCCCCTGAGTTTCAGCTTAGTAGCTGAGATTGGCAGGCAGCTGTGAAATGGGCTCAAAGCTCAGGTAGTGAATGTAGTGTGCACAGAGGCCTTGCTAGGCCGAGCACCGAGCTGCAGCCTGTCCTCTGCTTGTCTTCCTGAGCCCCGTCTGCCCTGCCACTCTTGCACCAAGTCATGTTCTTCAGTGCCATTTGTCTCTACTTGGCACCTGCTCTTTCTACTGCTCCTTCAAAGCGCAGCGCGAGCCCCAGGGCTGAAAGCTTGTCATTTACCGGAAGATTAATATCAAACTTAAGGGCTCGAGGGCTCGTTTGAGGCCTATAGAACCAGAGAAGTGTGTGTTTAGGCCGTGGCTGCTGCCAAGTTGAGGAGGTCTGGCCTGTGATTTGTATGAACATCTTATAAATCAGGATAGCTGTCCCCACATCCCTGCAGGCTGTGCTGCAGAGAAGGCGGCATGCTGTTCTCTCAGCGTGTTCGTTTTTGCCCTTCTAGCTGATAACATCTTTCTGAATACGTGCATTCTCCGGAGACTAACAGTTCCTAACTTTAGCTCCCTGCACCCTTCCTTACCTATGCTAACCCTTTGAGACCAAATGGGTTTCCCCTCATCTCCATCCCACTTTCCCCGTCCTTTCCTTTGTCCTCTCGCGGGGAGTTAGGTGTGTTTGTTTCCTCACTTGCTTCAGCATCTTATTTGTCAGTAGTTCCAGAAACAGGACAAGGACTTGGTTCTCTGCAGGGTGGGCTCAGTCTCAGGTTAGTCCTGTGTGGTGATCGCCGTTGGCAACTGTAGGCTCCTGTGGGAATCTAAGTGCTCTGTGACACACCTCAGAGCCCAGCCCTGAGGCTGGTGCTGCAGTGGGAGAGTCCCTGACTTCCAAGCCTCTGTGTATGGCAAGCTCCTTCAGTTGCTGGCTTTGCCGTCTCTGGCTTCCGCAACCAGGAGCCCCTGAGTCCCGAGTTGCCTGCATACCCCATACTGGGTGTGCATGCATATCAGAGGAAAATGTATCACTTGTTTTGAAAGCTGTTTGATTTAGAAAAAAACTCATTTAATTAATGGTACATGTTTTCAGTGTTGTTTGAAATAAATTTAAGTTTCTATAAAGATTATATGAAATTCTATTTAGCCTACCTTTCAGTCCTGACAGTTATTTTATTTCAAAACAGTTTATTAGGAAAAATATTCTGTACTTTCTATATCTTTGACTGCCTATCAAATCAGCAAAATATACTATTTTGACATTGACTATTTAGTTTAAAAATTGGAGGGTATTTTCTGGAATACCTAGTCCCTGCAAATAGGGCAGAGTTAAAAATGTGAAGGAAGGGGTAGGAATGCTAGGGAGATGACTCACTGGACAAATACTTGCTGTACGAGATCCTTAGCATCCGTATAAATGCCAGTGCAGTGGTGTGCGCCTGCAGTCCTAGTCCTGGGTTGCAGAGACAGGCAGATTCCAAAGGCATGCCGGCCAGCCGGTCCAGCCCCAAATCCAAGGTACAGTGAGAGACTAAAAAAGTAAGGTGACAAGTGTGTTCCTGCCATTGCCCTCTGTCCTTTATATGTCTGTGCACTTACAGACATACACACACACACACACTCACTAATAGTAATGAAGTATGCAAGTCATTTAAAGGCAAAACTAAACCCAAAGACTACTGGCTAACCTGCACTAGCATTTCTGTTTCTGGTAAATGTCATTTGAACTTGAGCAAAACTGACTTGACACATAGAGGGGCTGGGATACTCAGCAGCAGAACTGTGTCTCAGTTTCTGTCGTATAGAAATATTAACCAGCATCCCTCTTATAGATAGTATACAGTTTCTAAGGCCCAAGGTTTGATCTTGGTCTGTGACCACAGTGTAAACCTGGGTCGATATTGTAAATGCTGTGGTCCACAGCAGCAGGACGATGGTGGCCAGCAGTCTAGCCTGTGCTCTTCCTGGACGGCCAGGTGTGCAGAGACAGTCTAGTTCCCTTATTAGTCTTTCTCCATGGTGTCACCATGTAGCTTTATGTAGTATGTGGAACATGATATTCCCATCTGACCGTGTCTGCTGCCTCCATCTCCCAGTGTGTCCCAGTGTCTGGGCCTTGGCGGTCTTCCCTCCGTCTCAAGGCTAGGAGTGCTTGGCTCAGAGCCTGCCTTTCTGTCTGCATCCACTGTGGCAGCAGCCCATCGCCCAGTGCTTTGTGAGCAGCTGCCAGACTCCTCTCCAGCTTCTCCTCGCCTGCTATGTGTCTCCTCGTTGCTTCCGTGTGGACGTCTTAACTGTACCATGAGTCCATGCGGAGCCTCAGCTGCAGCCCTTCGCCTGTGCTTGGCTCCCACAGGCTCGCCTAGGGTCATCATCTTGACCTCTTAACCCATGTTTCTTCTTTGTCCGGTGTTCAGTCTGCCTTAAAAAAAAAAAAAAAAAAAGATAGGGTCTTCCTCTTATTGTCCAGACTGGCCAAGAACTTGAAGTTGTCCTTACTGCGGCCGCCAGTATTCTAGGATTACATGTGTGCACTCCCATAACCGGGTTGCAGTCTGTTTTCCATACAACAACTAGATTATACAAATACCATAGTAAAAGTACAAGTATAAATCAGTTCTGTAATCTGCTGAAGACAGGTCCAGTAGATGGTCTGTTTGCTCAGAACCATGTCCTATCTCCTCGTACAGTTTACGATGTCCTGTATGGCAGGCAAAAGGGCTAGAGACCAGATTCTCTGTCCCATCTCACCCTGCTCAGAATAGATCTTGGTAAAGCCATTTCTAGTTACAGGAATCGCCAAGTGGTCAGACTGTATTGCCAGCCAAACCAGCTGTATATTAGCCAAAACCCAAACATGAAGTTATTAGAGAGGACATTGTTTTCTGGGTGGGTAGTGACTTCTGGTGAGCTGGTTAGGTTTTGTTGGCTTGCCACCAGCTGGAGTGACCTAGGAAGAGGAACCTCTATTGAGGGATTCATTGCCTTTATTAGATTTGCTCATTGGCAAGGCTGTGGGCATTTTCTTAATTATGTGGGAGAGTTCAACCCTCTGTGGGCAGTGCTCCCCCAGGCAGATGCTCCTGGATGGGGTGTGCAGGCATGGTGGCACACAGATTCATCCCAGCACTTGGGAGGCAGAAGCAGGCAGGTGGGTCTCTATGAATCCAAAGCCTATCTTGTTTCCATGGTGAGTTCTAAGCTAGCTGTGCTACATAGTGAGACCCTGTCTCAGAAAGAAAGGAAGAGGGAAAGATAGAGGGGAGGAGTGAAGAAAGGTAACCAAGCAAGCCATGAGGAGCAAGCCAGTAAACAGCATTTCTCCATGCTTCCTGTCCTGCTCTCTTGAGTCCTTCCTGCTTTCCTTCAGGGTTGAACTGTGGTCGGGACATGTAAGCCAAACAAGCCCTGTTCTCCCCGCGTTGCTTTCAGTCATGGTGTTTTATCACAGCAGCACAAAGTAAACGGGACACCTGGGGACTGCACATATGGCCTTGTGCATGCTGGCCCCACGCTCTGTCACTGCTCATCCTCAACAGTCTCAACAGGAAAACAAAAGTTGGAACAAAGAGCTGAGCTCTGCTGTTTCCTTGAAGTCACCTGTGGAGCCAAGGTGCACGGAGCCTGGGCTAGCCTGACGTTTAGGGGACGATTATCCACGTCTGTCAGAGCATCTCCAAGAGACCTCCAGAACTGTTCAAGAATAATTTTTCAGAAGTCTGTGTGGTTGACCCTTGCCCAGATATAGTACAAGAAAAAAAGCACTTGGAAAATTTAACAACCCACTAATTAAATGAGGGAGCAGGTATATTTCATAACCAGATCCTAGGAGAAGTCTAGGGAGGTAGAAGTTCACATGGATCAAGTTACACTGAGTGGAAATGTGCAGGCACAGAAGCTTTTCCAGAGCTGTGGATGCTGACTGACCACCGGACAGCCTCGGCAGTCATTCCTATCCCAGCCACAGAGCGGATCCCATCACACCGGAGTCAGATCACCTTGAAGGCTGGACTCTAGACCAGGGATCTCGTGAGCATCAGCTCTCTCTCTCTGACGCTGCTGTAAGCAGGGCTTTGTTAAAAGAAAGCAGTGCAATCCAGCAGTCTCCCTGAACACAACTGAGTGGCTGTGATACAGACCACGGGGCCTTCGTGGCCTCACATACCCACTGTGCGTACTTATCTATTTCTCTGTGTGTATTTCCCTGTGTGTCCTTCCCCAACTACATAAAACACGGGTGGAGGGAAGAAGGTGTTTCTTTTCCCCAGCACCCAAAGCAGTTTTGTCTCACTGTGAATCTTCCGGGTTGAGTCCATGAACAGCATACTCGTGGGAAGTCTGACAACCAGATGTTGGGAGCGCTAGACAGTGGCTGTATATTTTGACAAGGATGGTTTGCAGTGCTTTAGCTGTCTCTAGACCAGATTGACTAGTTTCTCTTGCTAGTGTTACTGAAGTACAGAGACGATGGAGCCTGTTCTTGTATCAGAGCGCTCTTCCTGTGGTCTGAGCAGCTTGGCATGTTTGGTACAGTCTGATCAAGCATGGAGCAGCTTCAGGTGGTGTAGTGCCTGTGTTTGGAGGTGCCAACAGATTTCTACAGCTAAGACTCTATTCCAAAGACTTGGTGGTGATTCTGTTTGTAAAAGATTCAACCCTTTTCTTTTGCTACCTGGGGGCTAGCCTGCAGCAGCACAGGGTGCAAAGGGAAATCCACAGAGTGGCTATACTGTGACTTTTTTATCTGAGGGGGTAAAGGAAAAAGACACACTCTTGACAGTTTCCTTTAGATCTTTTCTTTCTTCTTTTTTATTCTGATTCTGTGTTCTCTATTCTCTTTTCTTATCTCTATCCAGAAATGTCCCTTCTGGTTTTCTTGATGTTTTCCTTCTCTCTTTATCTTTTTTCTTCCTTATTCTCTGTCTTTATTTTCCCTCTACAGCTTATGGACCTGAACAAAATCTTTCAGGCAGTTTAGAAATTACAATGCGGTAACATTCTGTTTTTTCAAGTGAATTATTACAATGAATACAAGTAAAAAACCCATGTTTTCCATATCCCTATCATGATTAAACATTTTATATATTACAGGTGAAAAACAAATTATCTCCAAGAGCCCATATACCTAAGCAACTTGTTATAGATTAACAGAGTGTAAACAAGCAAGATATTCTTCTCAGGCAGGTCTGACTGGCAGGCTGTGTTCTACAGTAACAAAGAAGGAACCAATCACTTCATTGCTTATCTTGAAAGGTAATCTTACAAGAAATCTTAAAGGAATCACAAACCTAAAATTTTATACATGAGAAAGAATCAGTCAGCTCTACTTTAATTCTTTAGGCTGCATACCCACTCATCAATAGTTTTTTATATCAGGAGATTTGAGGGCAGAAATGGGTACAAGGAATTAATCATCACCTTTGGTCATCAAGCAATCCTAGCAAGAAAGGCAAGTTAGCTAATGATAATTGGGCTGCCTTGTTCTTTCCCCAACCTTGAAGAGTTCCTCGTTCACCTGTGGGCCTTTCTAAAACTGTGGGTTGTCTTCTTGGCTTTTCACCTCAAGACTTTCACAAAAGCATCTGAGTCTAACTTAGTTTACATTTTCAAAGCTTTGTTTCAGCTATGATGCATTGTGAAACCTATGAACACATCTCCCAAAATTAAGGTTAAATTTTTTTAAACTAACTGGGCTACTGGGACTCAATTGTTTTTCTTAATCATTAACCTAAGCCACAGTCTGTGTGGCTCCTCAAGAGAAACTCATGTGTTCTAACTGTGTGACACTTCCTTGTTGTGTTTTTTTATCACCAAAACTCTATTTAAACTAACATTGCTATCAATTAGTACAGCTTAGGAAGAAATCCTCTTTATAATAATCCACAAGTAAGAAACCCAGTAGAATGGGATATTTCCTTGAGGTAAACACTACATTATAGTCAGTGTGGATCTCCCCACACACATTCACATCATGCCAGAAGGCACATGTGAAGGCACGGCAGAAGCAAAAGGCGTTCCAAGCTCTGTGGTCTGGGGCCTTGCCTAGCCGAGATTAACCCGTTACAGATTTGCCTCCTGGTGGGCCGACACCTCAACTTCATTGCCACCAGCAGCTCCTCCGGCATGGCCACCTGCACTTTTCCTATGAAACTGCGAAAGGAAACTGAAAGCCAAAGCTATGTAGCCTTTGTTATCTGTAAGGCTATGTGACTTTTGTTGTCTGTAAGGATATGTAACTTTTGCTGTCATCTATAAGGATATATAGCTTTTGCTGTGTGTAAGGATTTGTAGTTTATGCTGTCTGTAAGGATTTGTGTCCTTTGCTGTCTGTTAGGATATGTAGTTTTTGCTGTTGTCTGTGAGGATTTATAACTTTTGCTGTCTGTTGATGAGTTTCTGCAAAAGTTACTTTGTGTGCAGGGCACAGTTGTCACTGTGGTACATGTGTGTGGATCTGTACTGTTCCCTGGAGTTGCTGGAAGTGCTTGCTCTTCCGTCTCCTTCCTAAGATCTGGGGTCCAGTCTGCCTGATGGGCCCTGCGTATTTGATTCAGCTAACTCCATCAACATGAGCTTACTACTCCAGAGAGCTGTCATTGACACAGTAGTATGTGCTGAAACTGCTGCTGCTGTAGTAGTGTGCATGTAAATTGTGGAAATGATTGATGACATTTTCCTATAAAAGGCTCATCGAATCAGGGAAGTGTTGATACAGTAACAGAAGTAATTATGTCAGAAATTGCTATCTTATAGGACTAGTGGCAGCATCGTCCCTGTTTTGGGGGAAGTAGTGCCATAGGCAAAAGCACTGTCCTCCAGAGACTGTGCCAGCAAGCAGAGGGTGTACAAGACAGAACACAAGCAGACGAGTAGCTGCTGAAGTGCCCCACCCCCACTACAGGTGGGCCGAGTGCCCTTTGAAGGGAGGAGGAAGCTTTTGAAGCCCAGAACAGAGAGCAGGAAGGACTCTTTGAGGTCGCTAAGCCAGCTCCTTGATTTATAGTTGAGACTCAGCTTGTTTGTTCAAGGCCAGATAACCATTTGTTAGCAGAGCTGGATCTAGGGGTGGTTTCCTTATTCTGTGTCACTCAAGGGAAGGAGCTCAGATTTTAGAGTTGGGTACAGCTCAGTGACTGGCCTGGCCAGTGAGTCACTTTCCTTGCTAAGCCTGTTTCCCAATCAGGGTGACAGTGGGGGGCCAGAGCAGGCACTAGTCTTTAGAGCATTGTCAGATAGGGGTTGTCTCTTGCTGTTCCTAGGCACCTGTCTCGGCCTCACTTACCTGGGAGAGCGTTTCCGGTGCAGGATATTTGGCTGATTCCTAGTTCTCTTCTAGTCTGCATCCAGGATGGTGCTAGCGATGCCGCAGCATCATTGTGAACTTGGAGAAAGCAGCTGTGCAGTGACTTCTGCTGTGCTCTGTGGTCGAGATGAACCGCAGGACCAGGGAAAATACTGGTGCTTCCCCACATTCTCATGATGACATCACACTGAGAAGGCCCCTGGTCATTTCAGATAATGGAGTTTTGGGCATGACTCATCACTGGACACAAGTCATCTGCTTGTGTAGTATTGCTCCCAGAGGGAATGCTCCAAAGGTTTTTTAAAGTTTGGTTGTGTTTGTTTGTAGTAATGGGGGTGGAACCTGGACTCCTACGTATGCTAGGAAGCCTGTAACTGCTGAACTGTAGCTCCCTCCAGTCCTTGCCATATGTTTTATTTTGAGATATGTTCCTGCTAAGTGTCCAGGCCAGCTATGGACTGGATCTGTAGTCCAGACTGAACTTAATCTCCAGATCCCTCTGCCTCATTCAGCCAGGTGGCTGGCATAGTAGGTCTGTGCTGTCAGGACGAGCTTGTTCTTTGTGAGACAGGGTCTTCCCATGCTGACAGCTCTCGATCCTCCTGCGGCTACCTTCCACGTGCTGGCATTACAGGCATATGCTTCTACCACAACACCTACGACATTTCAGATTAATTTTCCTGTTCCACTTGGTTGTAGCCTCTTGACTTTAAAATCCACTGTCTGGGTACGAGTTTACATTTTTTAAAGATTTATTTATTTTGTACATTTGGGTTTTGCCTATATGTATGTCTGTGTGAGAATGCCAGATATTGGAACTGGAGTTATAGACAGTTGTGAACTGCTATGGGGTCCTAAGTGGGGATTGAAGAGCAGCTAGTGCTCTTAACTGCTTAGCCTTCTCTCCTGCCCCTAAGTTTAAACCAATAGGATTAAAGCTAAGAAACATTCAAATTAATGGCTAGAATACAAAAGGGGGAAGATTTATAAGATCCAGTTAGAAAGTTCAGCAGGAGCAGGAAGACCTTAGCAACCATATCTGTGCAAAACAGCAGAGGGCTTTGTTCAGCTGCTGAAGCCCAAGAGCCTTCGAGACTCCCCATGTGGGCCGGATATGTGACAAGGTGGAGCAGTGAGGAGTTCTCCCAAGATCCCTGGTGGGCATTGAGAAGCATTTCTGGTAGTTATAGATTGGTGAACAGTCAGAACATAGTTTAGAAAGCACCTTGTCAAAATGTTAAGGCAAGTGGATTCTTAAAGACAGCATGTGTGAGGTGAGAAAAACACCAGCCTACTGGACTGAAGAAATCCTCCATCACTGAGTGTGCAGGAAGAGCTCTTGGACCATTCGAGGGACAGACACACATCAGAGCTACCAGAGCAAAGAGAAGGCAAGTTTGAATGAAAAACCATGATGATTGACTTTCATTTGAGTTCAGATTTGTCATGAGAGATGGGTGGTTTTCAGATGTCTTGCTATCCGGTACATATGAAGGAGCATCTGCTGAATTTTAACCTCCAGGGAAGGTGTAGAGGTGAAGCCCAGGTCCATGGGAAGATTTGGGAGGACAGATGGGACGCACCAATAGGCAGTTCTAGGCTATTGAAGAGTTGGAGTCCAAGTTCTAAATGTTTTCACTAACTTTTCCAGCCAGCAAAAGCAGAGAAGTGTTCTTTTGTTTTTCCTTGCTAGCTCACATTCATGGTATTTCTCTTGGGAGTGAATTTGGTCCAAGGCAAGCTCTCGTTTGGTGCTGTTGTCCATTTATGTTTATAACTGTGAGTAAGAGGTAACACTTGGTGTTAGGTGGCAGTGTGTGCTTTGTTTTCAACTTCACACAGAGGAAACGGAGCTTCCCGTTCTTTCTAATCTAAACACTTGGGCAGTGATAGTATCTGAGACGTTTTTCTTAGCAGAGGAAGCCCCCTCCACTTCCCATCACAATTATTGGGCCACAAAAATAGCAGGCATACCTAAGGCATTAATGTGTGGCGATCCGGAAGCAATTCTCTAAGCATCCTGCCACATTTTGAAATGTTAATTTCAGTTCTGAGTGGGCTAAAACATGTAATTTATAAGTGTGATTTGTATTTGATACACTTATGGCATGTGTCGTGTTAATGTAATCAGGTAGTCTTGTTTTTGCTTAAGTGGGGCACATGCCATGCTGTTTGTTCATTCATTAAATGAATGACTTCCTGTCGGACTCTGGTTTGAATCTGATGACACCCAAGGCTGTGCCTGTGAGCTCTGTTCTTCCCTCCATCTTGGGGCTTCCCGGGCTTATCACTCCGCCGTTCTCGGTCAGTTTGCTGTGAGCAAGGTCACTTAGTCGGCAGAGGTAGAGTGCAGTGTCTGCACAGCGACTGGATTCACTGAGAACGCTGGACTGAAGTCAGTGGCATTGTCTTTGATTAATGTGCCCAGTAGCTGAGTTTTCTTTTCGTAGAAATAGAATGCAGAGGGCCAGTGACACAGCCAAATTATAGAGAAAATTGGGCTTATATATAACAAAGTAATAGAGCTATGGGATTTATTTGTCCTGTCCATCCCGCCATCAGTGTTCCCAGTCCCAGCAAATCCCCACTTCAAGATTTGTCCCCGTGAGAGATCAGCTTTGTGTGGCTTTGCTTTTTTTTGTTTATTAATAATAATTATTATTATTATCATTATAAGACAGGGTCTTACTGAGTAGGTTGGCTAACCTTGAACTCTGTGTCCACTGCTTTCTGTGTTTTGTCTCAGTAGTGTTGCCCAGGCTGATTTCAAACTCCAGCTCTGAAGTAGCAGTGACTAAGGTGCACACCTCTACACCCAGCTTAATACAATACAGTGTTACTCTCCTATGGAACAGAATGGTACTCTTGAAGGAAAGGTCAGTGTGCCTTCCCTGTTTCTTGCATGTCTGTCTGCCCATGGTCATATGCCCTCCTCACCTGGTCATCACTAGTTTCTGGGCTGCTTTCTAGATCCCAGCAGAGCAGTGAGAAGGACCTCATTCTCCATCTGCCCTCCTGCCAGCATCTATGGCAAGTGGCCCATCTCTAACCCGTTCCCAGGCGTCCCTGACTTTCCAGCATCAGCCTGTGTCCACACTTGACTGTGTGGGTCACGCGAGGTGTTGTGCATTTGGTAGACTTTTCACAAATGTACGATGTCGTTGGTGACCTATTAAAACCCATGTGCTCCATCTGTTCCTCCTTCTCTCAGTCTTGCAGGTCCCCAGGAGTCCCAGACCTCTTAATTGTCTTCATAGTTTTGCCTTTTTCTAGAATATGCAGCAGCCATCCACTACACAGTTGTTTAACAGTCTTTCCATAGTGCTTTGCTTTTAGCATTCCTGAACCCCTTCTTGTGACTTACTAGCTTATTCCTGTTAAGTCAAAACCTGTTGCATGGATGTGCAACAGTTTTATACCTGCTGACCAGTTAGTTATTTGCCTATTTGCTGTGACCAAAAGCTAGTCATTATGACCATGGACACTATTGGTCCTCTTTACTCAGCCCCACTGTGGGATGCCTGCCAGCATTCATGTGGATCCTTCTCAGTACACACACACACACACACACACACACACACACACACACACACACACACACACACACGGGGGGGGTATGTGCCCAGGGTGCCCTGAGATGTGATCAGGATGCCTAAAGGACTGAACTTTTAAATTGTGTTTTCATTTTAATTTTTCCTTAAGTAACCACATGTGGCTAGCAGTGACCATGTTGGAATGCTTCACGGTACAGCCTTAAATACCCCAGAGACAGGCTTGGCCATTAAGCCACTTAACTTAGGACTAATTACGTAGCTTTGATCATCATAAGTGATAGTTCAAGTCAGATGAAGTTTCTTTTGTAAACCCCCTTTAAAGGGTGCTCTACATCCAGAGAGACCCTGGCAGGTCTGTGATAGCCTGCTTCAGTTCAGCTTCCAGAGTGGCTTCTCCTTGGGTCTGTTGGTGCCTCCTTCACCGGCTCCTCTTCCTTCCTGCACATTTCCTTTTGCCCTGGGGCTAAGTCTTTGCTTTATCCAGAACAGCTGGTTCCCACCAAATTGCATAGTTCCTTCCCTGCCCAATGTCTCTCTCCCTTCCCCTCCCCACTGCCTCTCTCCCACCCCCTTTCTCTTCTTCCTTCACCTTCCTCTCTTTCCTTTGATTCTGAGTGGAAGATTTGATTATGAGCTGCTGCTGTTGTTGTTTGGAATGTTTTAACATAAAGCTTTGTGGTCATAATGGTTGATTTTTGCATGGTGTCTGGGATCTAGCTTGAGACATAACTAAGAAAGATTATTAGAACACATTCTCTTCCCTTTCCATGACCTGCAAACAACTCCCTATTCTCAGATCTCTGATACAGTCAGGTGTGGAGGTCTCCAGTAACCTGAGGAAACTCTTGAGTGTTTAAGATCTCTCTAGTGCCTTAGAAATTGGCCACATTTTATCCCATTGAATCCAGATTGTTGTTGTTTATTGATTGGTTTGTTGCCATTTTGCCTTTGGCTTTATTTGAAGAACATGGAAATCTTTTGCTAGGTTTGAAATGTCATCTTCAGGGTTTCCTGGCCACCATGCACGTCCCCCTGGAGGTAATAAGTAATCACCAAGGGGGGGGGTTGACTTTTCTAGGATAGTACTGTTAAAATGTGCGACTTTGAGAAAGTGTTGTAGAATTTTTAATGGTTTTATTCTTCCTTTGTTTTTCCAAAGTTCCTTTCCCTGAGTGTTTTTGTATATTATATATAGTGCCCTTGGTTTTACAGACTCTAGGATTAATTTGGAAAGCCCAGAGACTGTGCCCAATGCTTATTAACATATCCTTTGCTGGCAAGGAAGTCAGGTAGAAAGGAAGCAACTGGTGTGCTGACAACCAAGGCCAGCATACTAAACCATCTGTGATTCTTGGCAGAATGAAAGGACAAAGCAAGATCTTGGGGGAGGGCTCACTTCCAGGTGCATGATCAAAGGAATAACTCCATTCTGCAGGGGTGAGGCTGGCTTGGTGCCTCCCAGTCCACGGGGCGTGTGAGGTCAGCCTGAACGTTTCGGAAGGTGTAAGAGGAAAAGGCTGCAGGCAGAGGACATCGCTCGGCTTCTTGTTACTGCAGGCTCTGGGTGGAAACTCTAGGAAACCTCTGGAATTCAAGTGCAATATGATACAAACATCAGACTGATTTGGAGGCAAGATGCAAGGCCAGGCTCCTCAGGAAAGAGTGGACAGGCCCTTTAAAAATCTGTCCGTCTCATCCAGCT